GAAATTGGGCTGCGCTTTTCCGGAGTTGTTGGATTTGGCATGTGGCGTCTTATCTTTACCTTGAAATGGGATCTGGTTCTCTTAGATGAAAAAGAAGCGAAACAAAATCCAACATGTGAAAGGGTGTCTTGCTTGTGACACCTTTCAAACCTTCTCGCCCTTGGAAAGGGGGTCCCTTTCATTTCCCTTCCCTGAACAGAAGCAGCCCCCACTTTGCATGGGACATCTCCCCTGCGGCAGATGTAGAGGACATATATGCGTGGTAATAACTTATTGACTCCGAAAAAGGCCGTGGCCGTCATCCTGTCGGTAGAATCCCCCAATCGCGCCTAAATCCCAACAGATCATTGCCCGCCGTCAAGCAAGGACGTGTTTTATGTTATTTAAATCTGGACATGAGTGGAACCAACCAGGTTGAAAGGCGACTCTATCCCGCTAGAAACAGTGAGCCGAGCTTGCCGAGGTGGAATACGGAGACGGGTACCCGCCGACCCACCGACCCATCCGCAAAAAAAGTGACACACCCAAAGCCCGCGCCTGGACACCTGCATGGTCTTCATCCACTCCCTCGCTGCCTTTGGCGTCTCCTGGCCGAGGATGCGCGTTCCTCCACGGAAAGCAACGAACACATGCACGGAGCTCTGCGCTGCCCAACTTGTGACCCGGAAGCATCACCCCACGACGTTGACGGGGAAAGTGTGCCCAGTTTCAAACCACAGGGGAAAGATAGAAAAGCCCGCGACAAGCATGGAGTTGCAGCTTCCAAATTTGTTGACCGATTCGTATACTTCCAGCAAATAGGTTCCGAAACCAGTTGCAAAAAAGAAAACCAGGGTCATCCAACGCTACCTAAAATTGTGCTACGAAATATTTCTGCCCCGGCCACAACGTCCACAGAAAAAGTGCTCGTTTGGGAAAAAAATGCTCGAGGGAGGGATCGAATGAGTCGACCGGACGAGTGTCGAATTCGTACCTTTTTTGGAATTTGCGCCCTTTTGCACTTTTTTGCAAAAAATTGCGCCCTTTTTGCGCTTATTTTGCGCTCGTTTGCGCGTTTTGCGCTCGTTTTGGAAAACCAACACCTGCTGTCTTGATGGAACAATGTGGCCGAACAAAATTAATGCTCGAATCGGAAAAATACGCTCGCAAGCAAAAGAAGGTAGAAAAGTGCTACTATTTTCCCATTTATGTATCGAACAGGGGGGGAGGCAGAAATAAAAGTAGCGATGGATGATCCAGGAAGGCACTATTATCCTCTACAAGCTGTCAGGGAACCCCGTTTAAGAGAGACCCCCCATGTTTTCGCGTCTTGACAAGCAAATCTCGGCGGCATTGCCAGCAGCTTGTAAGTGAGCGGAAGGTTCGGAAGTACCTTTGTGGTCCGAAACTTGTCGAGCTGAAAACCACTCCGTGCGAGAAGCAAAGCGAAACGCAATGCTCCAAGGCTGCGGCCTCTGGCTGTATTCCATCAACCTCAGGGTGTTTGAAGGTACACCATGGTGAGTTAGTGGGTGGGTGTTGCTTTCTTGAGAGTACTGTTGTTTGTGGTTTTGAAGGGAATCCAGCAAACAACCCCCCAATTTGGGGCACCATCAGTGTCCTTTGGGACAAATAGACGGCACTGTATGTTTGGAACTCAGTTGAAACCAGTGCCATCCTTCAACGAAGCCGACCCCAAAAATGACAGCTATGCGAGGTAGGGTGAGTTCGCAGGCAGACTCCCGCATTGAAAGCAAAGATGCCCAGTGGCCGTTGGAAAAAAAGGGGCATCCTTTCTGTTGAGTTCAAAAGGGAACCCTTACCCGGAAAAAAAGAAGAAGAAAGGAGCAACCCACTGGGCAACAGAGGTAAGCAAAGATGACCCACAGCCCACATCCAAAATGGGGCGACTGTTTTGCCATCTAACTCACCCCATGGCAATGGCCCAATGGCTCCCGGCCTCCAAATCGATTCTCCCATCCTCGATGGGGCTGCCGCTCACCTCTCCAAGGCGCCAAGGAGCGACTTGCCATGTCACAAAGCTTCCCTTAGTTCCCCAACAGCTGAAAGCAAAGGGGTCTCAGCCCAGAGGTTTGGGGGTGGCTTGGGGGAATGCTGTTGGGGATGTCACCTGAGCTTAGTTGGGTTTTGTTACCTACAATCAGTTGCCCAAAGGACCCAGACATTTAAAAAAAAAGTGACCTGAGGCTAAAGCATCGACCCAGGGGAGACGTAAAAGGCTAAACGTCAATTTGTGGCTTTGGGCAAGTGAACTGGCCAAAATTGGGGATTTCTGGCCGGCATCCAAGTTGCCGCCCCCTGACCCTTCCCCCATGTTCCTTTTGGTTTAGGTTGCCTGAGGTAAACGGAATCACAAACGGCCCTCCCATCTCCCTTAGGGGGGTTCTGGCTTGGCCCATTTTCTGACAGCCGCTAGAGGGTCGTGGCTTCACTGGGCTACTCCCGCCTCCTGGGCGTCAGCTCGGCAGTCGCCCAACCTCGGCAAGCCGAGGCCGGCACCCTCGTTGAGCACTGGAGCGGAGGGTTCTGAACTCCGCGCGTCTCTCACCCACCGTTCTAACAAACCTAACGGAATGATGCGATTTCGATGTCCCAAGAAACCCGCAAATGTTTGTGGTTTGCTTCAACCATGGCTTCAAAGTGGCTCGAGCGGATTTCGTCCATACAGAAAACCCCCGGAAAGCTTCACTAGGAAAAAGCGCCTGTCTCAAGTATGCATCCGAAAACCTCTTTACAAGAGGAGCCTTCAAATCTGGCAGATTTGGGCCCCAGGTTGTGAACATATCCATGGATTACCAGGTACACGACATCACTTAGGTGGGTGCGTCGTAAAATAGGGGACCCCTAAAACAAGCACGGATCCCCTGTTGATTCCCCTTTGGTTTGTCAACCAAAAGGGGGGAGCCAACCAAAAACACACTTCCTGAGCGGACTGGCCAAGAGAAGGTGCTTGACTTGCTCATCAACCCCTAAACTGATTTTCCCCAAAAGTATCAAGTGCAGGAACTCAGGGAGGGGGAAACAAGCATGGGTGTGGGTCAAAATCATGCACCCAAGATGAAACCTGGGAAAGGAGGGCCAAAACCTGCGGTTTGGCGGTGGCTGAATTTTGACCCACCCCCACATCACCGTGGGGCACTGGTGAAATCCAACTCGGTGGTGCGGATTTGTGCCAAGAAGCAGAGTGGGCAAAGGCAGGTCCGCAGCCGCCATGCCCGCATCGCGGTGAGACATGCCGATAAACGGCTGCGTGACGGGTTGTTTTGAGGTGGTCCCCGTTTTGGAGTAAGTGGGCCAAAATTTCACAAGGAGGCAAAGCACAAAATATGGACAGTCAAGCTCGCTTTCAACTCATGGAAGGAAAAGCTGTATAACCAGTGCGCATAGCAGACAAGGAAGCAAGGCTTGCTTGTCCGCTCCTTCTTTGCTTTGCATTTTGGGTTTGTTGTGTTGACCCGCCAGACCGGGCCATCACATTTGGGGTTTTGAACCCTGGAATCTGTGCAGCCTGCGAACTGGGCGGCTGAAGCTTGAGCAAACCCACGCGGCCAAGCATCCATCAAAACCAAGCCTGCAAAACCATCAAAAACAGTGTGTTTGTCTTACGTTTTCCATGCAACACCATCAAACACCACAGTGTTGTTTTACGTTTACCCGAATCTACGTAAAGAATTAACAGGCCGGACTATCTGCACCTGTTTATGGTCGGGACTTCCTCACCTTCACCCAGCTTTTGGTTGTGGCTCACATGCATTGTTGAGACCAGTTGGTATCAAGTAGTTGGCTTCCCCAAAGCTAGGAAAGCAATCATCTTGTTGATCTACTTACTTACCTGCTTGCCTTTAAACACCATCCCACAAGGCTGGACCCCCGCCCCCCAAAAAAACGGCGCATTCCTCTTCCTCTATCTTCACGTAACAAACGCGAATGCTTTTGAGCAATGATCGATGCGTCATTCTCATCCGAAAATCGGTGGGACACCCAGCTAAAACTCCTGCAAGAAACGGGGCGGCAGCAGCGCTCCCAAATGCGATATGTGTCAAAATATGGAGACCCGACTTGCTTAAAACAAGTCTGCGGCTTTCTCTTGGAATCCCCAGCAACCTGAAAAGCGTGCAAAACGAATCGCATCCCCACATCCGGTCTCGGGCAAGGCGCTTTTTTTCAAGTGTGGCCTGTTCTGGAGTTCAGCTGCAGATTCAGCTGTAGCTGCTCCTGCCGTAGCTGCCACGACGGATAACGGTTGGAAGCCAGTTCCATGTTTAAGGAATGTTGTTTGGGGCACCCCCTTTGGAGTTCCATCCTAATTTGCAGGGGAGTTGGAGGACCAAACAAATGTCCATGATTCTTCAAATGGGCAAAACTTGATGAAGCATCTAGAACCTTCCCCACTTTCAAAGAGGAACCAAGAGGAGGTTGTCTTAAACAGTTTTGTGGCAATGATTTGCCAACCGACTGGTCGAGCTTCCGCCCAACCTCCCCCCCAACAAAAAAAAAGAAGTCCCCTCACTGCCTGGGCGACTTGTTCTTTACCACGATCTTCCCCAAAATAACTCAAGTCCAACTGGCTTCGGAAGCCAGTCCGACCCGCATTCTATGAATTACCTTCCAACGCCCGAGGTTTTGCCTGACTGGATCATCACATCTCGCTGCTCGATGAGCCCAAGTGAAAAAAACGGGGCCCCTCTTCTTGGGCTTGCCTGGTGGGGAGTCCACCGCAAACAGGAAGGAAATAGCTTCGGCCGAATCCACCGAAACGGGCTGAACTAAGATGGTCCAACGTGTTGGCAACCAAGAGGGGACTAAAAGGTGAAATGGGGGGTCCTTTGAGGGTACCCTGCTTGGGGTGGGCTGGGGGATTGCAGGGAAACAAAAGCCCATACTGAGGGGTTTCATAATATTTGAGACAAACCACTAAACTCACTTGGTCAGTGATCTGGAATTAATAGGTTGACCTTTTGGGACCAAAGACTGGAAATAAACCAGGGGAAAACATCCATACAAATTGTGTTTACGGGACCCCCTAAAATGGTTGTCTTCCTTTCGTGTTTCCCTGTATCCACCAGCAAAGGTATACCAACTCCAAAAAAGACACCTTCCCCCCTTGTCGGGAGCCCATGTCTCCTTCTGGTCCCTTTAAACCCCCAAAACAATACCCAAGCCAAAACGACACACCCAACGAGCATCAGATTCCCCAACAAACGCAGGTCGCTTTTGCCCGTCGCCCAACAAGGCGCGATCCGGCGATCCGATCGGATCGCCATCGGATCGCCATCCGCCTGCACCGCGGCCAGCAGCGCCGCCCGCTCCGCGTCGGGGTCCGGGGCCAAGCGCACGGGGCCGCACCTAACGGCGCCACCGCATCTTCGACGTCAGGTCAGCTCAAAATGGCGGGTTCCCCCTTTTGGGGCTGGTTCGGTGGTTCTTACGGGAAACCGAAAGGAAACAAGCCATCAAACGGATCCTCAACTTTGAGAAACACCCCACGGTAAAACGAACATCCAAGTTTGGGATCTGCATTGGATCAGGTTCCCTCTCATTGGCTTTGATTGGTTTGGCGGGGGTGGCTTCCCATTTACCATCTAGAGCCAGGGGTTCATCTCCCGAAAACAACCAATCCAAACCACCAACTGGGGGTTCCCTGGCTGGACGTGTTTGAGGGGAAACCCACGAGGTGTCCATCCTTTTGAGTCGGTACCCCTCTTCTTGTGGGTTTTAAAGGAAAATGAAAAGCGGAAAGGACATGTTGGGTTTTTGGAGGAGACCAGGAAAACAGGACATGTTGAAAGAACGGACATGGCTTGCTTGGCGGAAGCCAGGACAAACTGGACAATTTTAAGGAAAGGACATGTTGTTTTTGTTTGAGATAACGACAGGGCATGTTAAGGAAAGGACAAAGGCAGGACATGTTTAAGGAAAGGACTTGGCTTTTTGAAGAAGCATGTTTGGTGGTTTCCGATCTGAAAATCCCTTCAACACCCAAAAAAGCCATGGATCATGGTTAATCTGAAAAAACAACATCCCCATATCTTGGTCAATGTCAACCCCAAACCGATGTTCTTCGTTCTAGTCCAGGGCAAAGATGTCCCCGATTGTTCCAAACGTCGACCCTGTTTTAAAGCGAGACCACAGGGAAACCAACCGTCCCCTATTCTAAGACACACCCTTACATGTTTGTGTGTGTGCAGTGTGTGTGTGTGTGTGCGCGTGTGTGTGTGTGTGTGTGTGTGTGTGTGTGTGTGTGTGTGTGTGTGTGTGTGTGTGTGTGTGTGTGTGTGTGTGTGTGTGTGTGTGTGTGTGTGCGCGTGTGTGTGTGTGTGTGTGTGTGTGTGTGGTGTTCGTGTGCGAGTGTGCGCGTGCGTCGCGTGCGCGTGCGCGTGCGCGTGCGCGCTGCGCGCTCGTGCGCGTGCGCGTGCGCGTGCGCGTGCGCGTGCGCGTGCGCGGGCGCGTGGAGTGTGTGTGGTGCGCGGTGCGCGTGCGCGTGCGCGTGCGCGTGCGCGTGCGCGTGGCGCGTGGCGCGTGCGCGGGGCGCGGGCGCGGGGGCGGGCGCGGGCGCGGCGTGCGCGGCGGGGGCGCGCGCGCGCGGCGCGCGCTGCGGGGGGCGGGCGGGCGGGCGGGCGGGCGGGCGGGGTCGGGCGGGCGGGCGGGCGGGGCGGGCGGGCGGGCGGGCGGGCGGGCGGGCGGGCGGGCGGGCGGGCGGGCGGCTGCGGGCGGGCGGGCGTGCGTGCGTGCGTGCGTGCGTGCGTGCGTGCGTGTGTGTGTGTGTGTGTGTGTGGGTGCGTGCGTGCGTGCGTGCGTGCGTGCGTGTGTGTGTGTGTGTGATGTGTGTGTGTGTGTGTGTGTGTCTGTGTGTGTGTGTGTTTGGGTGTGTGCGTTGTTTGTGTGCGTGTTTGTGTTTGTGTTTGTGTGTGTGCTTGTGCTTGTGCTTGTGCCTGTGCTTGTGCTTGTGTTTGTGTTTGAGGGTGTGGTTGTGTTTGTGCTTGTGCTTGTGCTTGTGTTTATTCTTGTGTTTGTGTTTGTGTTTGTGTTTGCGTTTGTGTTTGTGGTTGTGTGTGCGTGTTTGTGTGCTTGTGCTTGTGCTTGTGCTTGTGCTTGTGCTTGTGTTTGTGGTTGTGGTTGTGTTTTCGTTTGCGTTTGCGTTTGTGTTTGTGTGTGTTTGTGTCTGTGTGTGTGTGTGTTTGTATGTCGGTGTGTTTGTGTGTGTGTGTGGGTCTTTCTCTCTTTTTGTAGTCGCCCAAAATGGATAGCGGTTTCCTTTAAGCTTCCCAAAACCCACAAAATAGGAGGTACCAACTCCAACAAAAGGGGCCACACACCCCTTGAATCCAGGCGTTCCTTTGCCCAAAGGACCTTTTTGGGGCCTCGGAAGAATGGACCAAGAACAAATCCCAAAGCTTAGATCCAATCGATTCGCTTTGGTTGCAAGTGAGTGTTCCTTTTGGCTCAACCGGCCAAGATGACATGAGCAGCGCCCGGTGCCTAACCAAAAGTGGTTCGTTGCAACCCGTTGGTATTGGGGTCTTCGATTCTGGGGAGTCTTTTTGCCACCTTCTGTGAGAAAATTGGCGACCCCCTCAAAAAGGAATCCTTCACTACAAGGGGGTCGACCACTTTTCCACCCAAGGTGGCAAAAAACACGATCTTCTGGTCGTTTCCCTGATCCCAGTTGCCACCCCAAATAACCCTTCGCCCCTTGGTTTAGGCTGCTTCCAACGAGGTGAGGTAAATGAGATCAAAAAAACGACTTCTTGCCTACCATTGTGATACCCTCCCTATGGTTGAATAGGGCGGGTGTTGCAACCCAAGAAAAAAGGAAGCCTCACCAAAAAGGAGGCCCAGGTTAGGCTGGAGGGTCCCCTAGACTGGAGGGTTGCCTGAGCTGGAGGGTTACTTGTAGGGTCACTGAAACCTCGACGAGGCTCTGTGGCAGCACGAGCCCTGCCATCGCAGCGCGGTGCAGCAGGCCTCGCGGCTTCGGCTTCGATGGGAGCTGCGAGCTTCGCCGCTGGGAGGATACCCCCGCGGGAAACCCCCAAAAACATCAAAACGCCACGCGCCTTTCTTGGGGGTTTTCTCTTTTGGAGCGGGAAAAACCACGAGGAAACTCGTCATTTTAGGAGGTTCCCCCCATTTTTTAGACAAACCCTTATGAAGGGTAATGGGAAACTCGCATCTAAGGGATCCAAGAAGTGTGCCCTTTCAGAGGGGGGGACCCCAAAACATGGGTGGTTGCCTCGAAAAACCAAAAGGGGGCTCCCACAAAAGACATGCACCCAAGTGAGCCGGCTCTTTATCAAGGGCCATGATCACTCTCCGAATCAAAAACCCCGCGATTGCCTGATGCACTGGCCAACACGATGTGGGCGCTGATTAAAGGTTTCTCTCCGCATGTCCTAAGCATCGGAAAGGACCCAAGGGCTCGGGAGTTGCAGGGCTCGGGACCTCAACATTGGGTCCATGTTTGAGGTACCAAGATTCTTACCCAAAGGCTTTGTGGGGAGTCGGGTGAATTTTCCGGTTTTGGGTGACTGGGCAAACAGCTGCCAACAAACAGCTCCATGCTGTCAATCGACGGCTTCTATTCTCTAGGGCCCGAGCATGTCTTCCTTCAAATCTGGGAAAATGTCTGTGACCGAAGTGGGATGTTCTTAAGGCACACGGGGGTTGGCCCCTTCCATTTCTTGGGTATGGATCTCAAACTCGGAAAAATGAGGGGTGGGTAGAAAAACCCCTCAAAACTGGGTTTGATTGGACCTTATAGAAATGTGGGTATGTCGTTTTTGAGGGTATGCTTTGCTGGGCTTGGGTCGGTCAACCAGAAGCCCATCATTTTGGGAGCCCTTCTTTTCAGACAAGCCCATACCTGGATCTTCCTAAGTCCTATTTTTTCTGCCTTTTCGTGGGAAACTGCTTTTTCAAGGAATGTCATCCTATTGTTGCCTGGAGGCAATTTTCCTGAGTTTTGCTTGTTGGATGTTTGCAACAAACTGGCGGAGGCGTTTTCCCCGATATAAAGGCGTTTTTTTGCGATACAAAGGCGTTGTTTGCCGAACCCTGTTCTAGGCAGGTGTCCCAAAGCCGCTTTTTGAAGGAAAAGGCGTTGTTTGATGGAAACAACCAAAATGTATGTATGTAGTTACAGCAAAAAGCGGAAATTCTCCACTCCGGGTTTTCTAGGTATGTGCTATGATCAACACTCCTTTTGTCATTTGTGGGTCATGGCTTTGACCCTGACAGTCACCCCCACTTGGGAGATTGCTTGAGTGGTCGTTGATCCATATGTTCATCAGCTGTTAGTGGGCGCCAGGATCATCATGGTTCTCCTAGGAACTTTCCTGGTGGTTGTTACTTGCCCTAAGGCATCCCGACCATGGCGTCCAAAGAAGTCCCCGCGAGAAAATATCGCCTCCCAATCTCAGATCTCCAACTTCCTTTTGAGGCTTATTTGAAACAAGCCAACCAGGGGACACACGTGGGTACGTGTCTTCTTGGTGTCCCTTAAAACCAAGGTGAAAGGGTACCAACTTTAATAGAAGACACAAAACCAGGTACAAAAGGAACTACTTGGATCGCCGAGATGCTCCTGTCTTGCAGACACTTTACCCTAAAAGACAGTCACAGTCGCTGGGAAAAAGCGATTCGCAACGGGTGATTCAGGTATCTACCGAAATGGCCTTCTGTCAGAGAAGTCAGGAAGTTATCCAGGCGAAATACCCACCAAATGACCAAACCAGGGCTTGGGACTGAATGTTCAGCTTCCACCCAGAGGTCTCAAAAGGCTGTTGGAGCCAAAAAAAACAGAGTTGGAGCGTGCAGGTGGTGCCATACACGCTAATTTTTGACCGGCCCAAATTGGCCCAAATGTGGGCTGGGGTTCCAAAGGGAACCCAAAAGGAAGCCAGGTTGCCCTCCAAGCCTGCTCCCCCACCCCGAGCAAAAAAGGCGACATCACCGTTGAGTTAACGGAAAAGCCACATTTGGGTGGCTGGTCATTTTTGATGGCACCCTGTTTTTGCTGGGGGTTTGAGAGCGGAACCAAAAGGAAAACCCCGAAACCATTGATTGCGGGGCTCCAAATTGTAAGAGACCAGCCGCTCATTATGTCATTTGCTGTTGCACACGGATCGATCCGATGGAGCCAATTCCACGCCTTGGATGGCACTGCCTCTGGCTGCCACAGAGCTGCGCAGCGTGCGCTCCCCCTCCATGGAAACACGGAGCTCCTGTCGAGTGACGAGAGGGCAAGATGGCGACCATGTCCTGGAAAAGTGGAACATATATTACCAGTGCTCGACTCCCTCTAAAACCTACAGGGGAGAACTACCATGGCCTTGAAAACATTGGATACACACAGCTCCGAGTCCGGGTCCCTTACAACCAACAGCTAGATGGACAGTTCAACACAACTCTCAGCTTCCAACTGGTGGCTTGGCTTGGTGGTTGGATTTGAAAATCGCTTTTTCCCAGGGACTGCGATTTTTGTTTTTAGGGTAAAGAAAGAGGCCGCAGCTTGGCGATGGCCTGGATCTTGAGGGCAAATGGGAAGCTCCTTTGAGCCACAGGGCTCCAAACCACCGAGAAAAAAACGAGCCAAGCACCACTGATGGAATGGAACATTCCATGGTCGACCTCCAAACCGTGCTAAAGATGTTGGTAACCTTCAGGGTTTATAGGTTGGCCCAGAAAGAGAATCGCCCCTGGCCCTGGTTCACAAAAAATAGCAGTATGATTGAACAGGAAGTAAGCAGCCAACGAAAAGTCTGGTGACCTGGGTTGCAACAACCCCCTGCTTCCTGTTCACCATATTGTTTAAACAACTTCCTTTGGGGTTCCGGTTCAAGGGACCCCATAGCAGCTTTCGGACAAGCACAAGGACTCCTCCTCCGTAAACCCGATGAGGCCACAAACCCGGCTTCTGCCCCAGCTTAAACCTTCAAACTGTTCAACACAAACCTCCTTTGGGCTTGTACTTTTCAAGGAAAAAGCCGGGCTGTTCCTTGGGTTTTCCCTTGGGTGCAACGAGGTATCCTCCAAATGGACGGGTTCTTTGGGTTTTTGCTTGGGTGAAACAGGGTATCCAAACCACGGCCATGCCGAGCCGGTCGGTCCCCCGTCGCCCCGTCGGCCTGGCGCAGCGCGCGGATCTGGGCCGAGAGGTCGCCGGCGCGGAGCCGGAAGAGGCCCTGCCGAACGGACGAGCGTTGCGCATGGGTCGGAGAAGCTTAGGCTGAAGCACCAAAATAATTCCAAAACCAGTGCCTCAACAATGCTAGAACTGGACTTCATCGAAACCTCGGTGGAGTTTCGTGCCATAAAATAACCGGGGAAAAACACTAAAAACACATCCCACGCCAACCGCCGCCTGGTAAACTGGGCCAAGCCCTACGGGGCTTGGCCTACGATGGTCCGCTCCCCTCGTTTGGAGCCGGTGGCAAGCTGATGGCGTGGCCCCGGCCCTCAAGCCACCAGGCCTGGAGCTCCAAGTTGCGACATGTTGCGGCGTCTTTCCGGACGCAACATGCCCCCCAAAAACGTCAACAGACACAACATGCCCTGCAATTGGAATGCCCAGCTCACGCCCTGCAAACCCTTTGTAACCCAGGGTGGATTAATCCTGGCCACGCCTCTCAAACCATCTAAGTAGAGGATTTGGAGGTTACATACCACTTGGGGGGAAATACGGTGTGGATGGACAACAAAATGACCAACCAGCATGCACATTGGGTTTTCATCTCTGCTCTTGTTACCCAGGGACCAGATTCGAGAATGGAATGCCAGTTGTGGGATGGACTGCACCCATGGAGGGGTCGTTCTCTTCATTCCTTATGCTTGCGCATAAAACTCTCTATCGTCTCACTTCGCTAGCATCGCTTTGTTGCCTGGAACCTCTCGTGATCGTCTTTAACCAAGGGGTGCACCAAAAGTCCAACTCAGTGGATCCCAGTTACTCTAGTGTAGCTAACCAACAAATGTCCTCTGGCGGTTTTACCGGCTGCGAGATCTGTTTCCCTCCCATTCCCAAGCCTCAGAGGCCGCTTTTCGCGTCTCGTCCGGCGTTTCGGAGGCCTGACGGGATCCGGTCTTTTGCATTTGCTTCATCGGTGGGGACCCAAAAGACGAGTCTTTGGGTGGGGCAATTCGTCAACCTGGATCGCCAAGTTGCGAAAACGTGTTTTGCTGCTTTCCCAGATGCCAAGTACCCTCAAACCAGCCAGCTGCTGGGAGAAAAGGATTCACAACTGGCAATCCAGGAAGGTTTTTAACATCCAAAACCCTGTGGCAAAAGCTTGAATCGGCCTTAAGCGCCTATGTCGATTTTTGCGAATGTGCTCTCGTGATGCTGTGGACCAAATCCACACTAGCACTTGGCATGAAATGGGATTGCTGGCTTCTCAACCAGTATTCAAATCGAGTTTGCCCATCCACCATGATCCCCCTCCGGGGGAACTCAGGTTTTGTTGCAAAACCAGGGTGACTTAACTTCCCCATGTCTGACTAACCATCACCCCAGTTGGTCGGAGATCCCCATGGAAAAAGAACCATTAGAAAGGAAAGGACGTGGTGGTTTAATGCTGGCTCCGGACTCTAGCAGAATCTGACGCAGACCCCCAAAGAGTGATGCCGATCCTTTGTTAAATCAAAAAAACGCAAGTCGATTTCCCTTGAACTAGATTTTAACTCGGGTTCAATGCCGAACCGTTCTGAGCCATCCAGCTCAGGGATGAAATCGATGCGGACGCACTGGTCAGGGAACCCCGCTGACGAAGTACGACACGAGTCACAATCAAAACCTGGTGCCAATGGAGCCCACCCAGACCCCACGACCGACTTCTGGTTGGGACTGCCCCTTTCAGCTTCATACAATACCAGGGTCCTTCTCACACCTGCACAATATTTTTCATAGAAGCCAACACTTGTCGCTAGGCCATACATTCTTCCGGACCGGCATCAAAACGCTTGTTGTAAGCCATACTTATCGGTAGCCATGCACTTTTTCAGAGGTCACGCGAGTTCGCCAAATCAAAAGTGGATCAGTCTACTCGTGGTGTCCGTTGTCACTTTAAAGGAGGTTCCAAAAGGGGAAATGAAGGACACCCTGCTTTTGGTACTGGAGGACCCGGATGAATAACCCCAGTTGATTGACGAAGGTGAAAGTTTAACTGTCCCTGGGTTCAGTTGGAAACCCAAGCACTAAGCCAACTAAACACCCACAAACCTACTTCCGTTTGCTTAAAGCCCCCTGGAAAATAAACAAACGCATCTCCGGTAGTGATAGATTCCCTTTAAAACCAACAAGGGGAACATAAGACAAATTATCCCGGCAAGAGACCCCCCAAATAGTAGCGCGATGCAGCAAGAAACCAACATAAAACAAAACATCTTGGGAAGGCACTTCAGCCTCAACAGAAGCCAAGGGAGATCATACTCTTGCGCAGTAATTGGCGCAGCTGTCCGTCTTTTTTCACATGAAGCGGCTCGGCCATATACGGCAAGATCTGACCCCATCCCGCAGCGGGCACGCAACTTGCGATTTTGCAGCCGAACCTCGAAAGCTCTTCACATACTACTTTTGTACTTACAAGTTGCGATTTTGCAGCCGGAGCTCTGGGAGTGCTCTTCGCGTACTACTTTTGTACTTAAAGCCTCTGATTTTTGGGCCGGAGCTGCGGGAGCGCGCTTCGCGTACTACTTTTTGTACTTCAAACTTGCAAATTTCGTGCCGAAACTGCGGATGCGCACTTCGCGTACCACTTTTGCGCTGAGAAGTTGCGATATTGCAGCCGGAGCCCGCTCTTCGCGTGCTGCTTTCGTAATTAAAAGTTGCTGTTTTTAAGCCGGAGCTGCCGTGGGCCAAGCAGGTGGAACCCGAGACAGCGCGCGAGCGTGAAAGCAGAGGTGCAAACCACGAGACAACTTCCAAACACCGCTTCGCAAGCAAAGAAAACAGAAAAACCGAACGGCGCCACAGCGAGAGCGCTTCGACATGCAGGATCTCCGCAAAGGGTTCGCCGAGAGCAAGACGCATTCGCACGGCGCCACAGCGAGAGCGCTTCGACACGCAGAATCTCCGCATTCGCACGGCGCCACAGCGAGAGCGTTTCGACACGCAGGATCTACGCAAAGGGTTCACCACGAGTAGGACAAATTCGCACGGCACCACAGCGAGAGCGCTTCGACACGCACAATCTCCGCAGAGGGTTTGCCGAGCTCAAGACACATTCGCACGGCGCCACAGCGAGAGCGCTTCGACACGCACAATCTCCGCAGAGGGTTCGCCGAGCTCAAGTCACATTCGCACGGCGCCACAGCGAGAGCGACTCGACACGCACAATCTCCGCAGAGGGTTCGCCGAGCTCAAGCACGATCTCCGCAAAGGGTTCACTTTCGTCTTGCAACGCTTGCAAATGAGCGAAACGCTGCGCCTGCCACGAAATTCACAGACCATGTTTCCGAAAATGCTGCGCCTGCCACGCATCATTTGCATCAGCGCAAAACATGATGCACCCACCACGAAAAATGCACGGCAGTCTCACAGAATGCTGCGCTGGCCATGGAATTCTGCGGCAACACACAAATCCGAAGACCGGCGCGGCGCCACAGCGAGAGCGCAGTTTTGAAGAAAGGTCCGTTTCGTGCGAAGCTGTCGCACGCGAGACAACTTTTTGCGACAACTGCCATGGTTTTAGAGCTCCGATTGTCCAAGCGTGGTAGCATCATCATCATTGAAACGGACGACCGCCACACAGTCCAGCATGTCGCCCGGATCCTTGCGGATCCAGCCCAGGTAAGGCAGTGGATAGCTGCAACAGCCATCCGGCACCTTAGTCACGGCGTTGCCGTGCATATCTGGTATCAAGAATGCTTTGCCTCACCTTAGCGCGCCAAGTATACAAAGCATCATCACTCCTGTGGCCAGAGGGCCACGCTAGCCTTTTTGCAAGGATATCAAGGTTGTCAAGATTACCCAAGTGCGGGCGGTCGCCTGCAGTAGCCTCACAATCCCACACCAAGTGCTCAAGGGTGGGAACATGCTGTCCACACAAGCCACACTGAGTCTGCCCCATTGCAGCTGGAGACACTGTGGCACCGCTCATGACCTGAAAGTGCTGGAAGCTGAGCAAGCACTTGCGCCTTACCATCTTAATCCTATGGGGATCGTATGGTATGTGGCGGCACAAGGCAGCGTCACGCCTGTTCTCAGTCCTGTATTCACGCCATTTATTCCACCTCCAAGCTTCACGCAGCTTGTGAAGATCAGCCTCAAGCGCCATGTCCTCCATGCCCGGCCGCAATGCAAGCAGAGTCTGAAGGGGTTCATGACGCCATTTCCAATCCCCATCAGGGGTCCATCCATGTTTTTTCAGTCCTTTATTGAGTGCCTTAGCGATTGATGGGCAAACCCGCAGCGCACGGCCATGTGCGATTTGCCGCGCAGCTATCCTGTAGTTAGCACTGATTATTCGGAAATGTGTGTCAAGAGAGTGGCCCCGAAGCATAGCCCGGAGCGGCACACTTGCATTATTACCTTCATGCAGCGCGTACCTAATGGCACGATCGAGACGAAACATGTCATCAAGAGGGGGAAGCCGAAGCAGCCATCCCCACGAAGCCTTGCCAAGTACCTGAGACAAGATCACCAACCGTTTCAAGTTCCAAGAAACGGGGAGGTGAGCACATCGTCGAGCATATGTTATGGCCTGCTTAAGACGCATGATTTCTCTTTCAGTGTTTGTCCTGGTGTTGGTTCCTCTAAGATGTATTCCCAGGATCTTGGGGTCATCTGAGACTTTGTTCGCCGCTAATCCACCAGCAACAAGCTGGCGTCTGCCCTCCGGAGTCTGGTGGTAATAGCAGATTTTGTCAAGGTTCTCTCAAAGTCCAAGTTTTTGCGACCAAGCATCCCAATCTGCCTTGATCTGCAGTATATCCATGACAGACGGAACTACACATGTTCTATCGTCCACGAATGTTCGTATGGTTGCACTCGGGTGCTTGGCCTGTGTGCTACGAGTGGGTGATGAGGGACCAGGGGTCACCTTGCGGAAGGCTTTTGCTGACATCACAAAAGTGTGGCAAGCTCTGACCATCGTATACTAGTAGCCTTTGCTGCGAGGTCCATATTGCCTTGAAGACCAGGGCCACGTTGGGCGGCATGCCCGCGTGGCAGAAAAGCAGGTGCACCAGGCACGGATCAAGATGGTCGAAAGCCAGTGTATAGTCCAAGCTCATTAAGTATCCATCCTGTGCGGTAGCTTCTGCTAAGTCAACAAAGGCTTCGTGGACACCAGTGCCACGTTTGCCTCCTTTGGCCCGGCGCGGCCACCACTGATCGGCCCACGCAGTGGCCGAAGAGGAGCGTAGCCGTGCACTTCCATAAAGCCTAAACCATGTGCTTAGTATGGTTATAGGCCTTAGTTTACCCACGGGTAGGCTGCCATCATCAGCTCTTGCTTTGCCAGTGTCCAGCGGTAAGGGACCTTCCCTTCACAACCGAAAAGGCATCTGCTGCGGCATCAAAGACACACTGCGGTAGGTATGCAATTTCGGTGCCTCCCCAGCTGTCAACGCTGGCCGCTTTACCACGAAATTTGCTTGCAATTTTCATAAGATGGCTGCCGGTCATAGGTTCCCATAAAGATGGGGTATCTGCAAGAATTTCAGGGAGATGGTCCCGCCAATGCAGGGGGCGGTCCCATATACTTTTCCAGTAAGTTTCAAGCAGGCCCAAGGCTTCACTGATGGTGGTCGAAACGATCTCCTCACTGCTGATAGCAGTCGTTGGGACCACGCTCATATTTTTTATCCACTTGCAGCACTCGTGGTCGGAGCTACGCAGTTTTTCTTTCCAGTTTTGAATATTTTGATTATCAATTTCTTGCCTATGGTTTGTCATGCAAATTTTGAGTGCATGGATCTGCTGCTCAAGGTTACCTGGAGGGAGATCCGGGTACCGGTTCACTTTGGCTTGCAGGTCCATTGCCTTCTGACCCTGGCCCTCGCCGGCATTCGTAAGGCGCAGGAGTTCATAAAGACGGTGCAGCGTCTTTTGCCTGCGCCTTTCACGGAAGGTGGAGCCAGGGTGGCAGACAGGTGGCCTCTCGGTTTGCTCGAGGTAAACCTCGTTGGTTTTATCCTGTCGGATTGCTGGAGCCCGGTCGGGCTGCACTTCGCGGATCACTTCCTCAAGAGTCCTTTGGAGTCCTTCTTCGAAAGACAACCATACCGCGTTGACAGTTTCCTGGTCAGCTTCGGCAGGTACCACAAAGGGACCGTGATTATTCCATTTTTGGGTCACACAGTTTTTCCATTCACTGGGGTCGAAACCCGTCGGCATGCTGAGGTCCGTTTTCTTTTTGATCCTAATTAGTGGGTCGAGCTGCGGCCGGGGTGGCGTGTGCATCAAGAAGGAGAGCATGCGGTGATCAGCAATGGCTTCATCACGCTCACCTTCCAAGATCACGGCTTTGGGGTGGCCAGTGATGCCGTAATCGATGCAGCGTTGGCCACTGAACCGCGTCGGCAAGAGGTTTTCTTGCGGGTCACGTATAGTGCAAGCAGCGTAGCTCCGGCATCTTCGAGCCATGTGCACAAGGCATTCTCATGAGGGAGCTCATTATGATCTCCAGCAATGAGCCAAGGCACGCGCGGCAGCTGCTCTGATATGAGCTCGGCCAGCCCTTGGTGGACTTCACCTGCACCGTCACCACCTGCTTTGTACAGGCTGATACATAAGGCGCCTTCAACCAGAACAGCCACGGCTTGGGCGCTACATGATTTCCATTTTCCTATTAGTCGAGTTCGAAGACGCCGGCTGGCAAGCACGGCAGCACCCCTGTACGCCCGACCATTATTTTTCATAACCTTTTACATTGTGGAAATTGAATCCCTTTTTGTAGGCATATCTGCGGAAAGCGACCTCCTCAGCATCTGTGAGTCCGGATTCCTGGACTAGGTAGACATCACTGTCGCTGCTTGAGGCTTGGCGCAGTGCCGCCCACATCCCTTTGGCCCCCGCCACATTTACGCAGGTCACACGCGCCGGGCGTGGACCTTTTCGGGTTATGTTAGGGGACTCTGGTCCTGGGTTTGGTTCGATATCACCGCGTGGCGGCCCTGCCATCAAAAAATGCATTTTGCTTCAAAAAAACGCGTTTGGCACGAGGCTTCTAGCGCGTACCTCCCAACTGTTGCCCCTGCCAGCAAAAGCTGAAAAGTGCGAACGGCACCACAGCGAGACGCACGCAAAGGTCCGCACCTCCATTTCGTGCGAGACTGTCGCATCGAAGACAACTTTTTACGCACAGGGCCAGCAATTTGAGCCGACACCTCGATCTACACCAGGCCTTAACTCTTACCGTAAGAACCCCTTAGTGTAAGCACTATTTGGGGAATATTCTTAGATGGATTCCCCTTGAAACCAACAAGGGAACAGTAAAAAACCAATCTTAGATGGATTCCCTTTGAAACCAACAAGGTTAAAGATATATATATATATAATGAAAAAATATCTTCAGCACATGGAAGCCTAAATAAACCGGACAGCCGGTCCAGCTTGCCTTGGCCTCCTCCACACGGCTGCGCAGCTGGGCGCGCAAGGGCCTGAGCTCCTGGTCGCTGGAGCGCAGCTGCTCCTCTCGAAGAACCGACGTCCAGGGCGGCTGCGTCGCATCCGACAAGTTGGATCCGGCAAAACTTGGGGGTGGCTCAAGACCTGGGGTCCACAATGGAAAAGTAGACTCAAACCACAGTTTCATTTTGAGCCACGCCCACTTGGCACACACACACACAGAGTGTGTGTGTGTATGTATGTGTGTGTGTGCATGTGTTTGCAGCTTTTTTTGGTGCTACGCATCCTCCATCATTTCTCATCTCAAAGCTGATCTGCAATCCCCTTCTGTCAGTTCACACACCTTGGCCAACACAAATTCACAAATCATCTGCTCACATCTTACATGCCTTGACCGGAGCCACGCTGTGTGCGAAAACAATTAATCCCTGGAAGAAACTGTTCTGACAAAACCTGCTAGGAAGCATGCAAAGCGGCAGTTGCTGCGTGTTTTGCATGTCCAAGGGTCGGGGTGGATTCTCTTCAGGTCATTGCTAAAAATTAGCTCTCCAATGTCCATATGCTGAACTTTGCTGCGTACTAAGATGACAATAAAGCTTGCACCCACTCAGGTATGACTGAAAGCAGAGTTAAAGATTCGAGTTTCAAGATTCCGAGACGGTAGATCTTGAATCTTGAATCCAGTCTGGGGAGATCAACCATTTCCTTTCGAGGAACGAAGCAACGACTGCACGGACGTCACTCTCTCTTAGGATCGACTAACCCATGTCCAATTGATGTTCACATGGAACCCTTCTCCACTTCAGCCTTCAAATTCTCATTTGAATACTTGCTACTGCAACCAAGATCTGCGCCAGGAGCTGATTCGCTTATCACGCCAAAAGCTGCTCAACAACCCACCTACCCCACTTCACCCCACCTCACCCCAACCCCGCGTCTCCCCCCCTCACCCCCCGATCCGATTCCTCATGGATCTCCTTGGCCTCTCGTTGCAAACAGCTGAGTCTCATCAGGCCTTCCAGCGCTCGGATCAAACCCATAGGTGACGGAGAAAACTTGGCGGCTCGTCATAGATTTAAAGGATGTGGACTGCCCAAAAAAGGTGGGTTGCTTTTGAAGGGGAAGTCCCCAAAAGGCACAACATCCCGACAAAGCCGAGAGAATACGATTCTGGGCTTGTCTCAAAATAGGATTTGGACAACGCAAAAACGGTGGGCTTTTTCTTGGGGGACCCTTTAACATGGATTCAACGGAGTTATCCTTTCCCTTTGCAAAACACTTCCACGGGAACTGAGCTTTAAAAGAGACACACCCAATGGAACAGCCCCGCTTTCATCTGACAAAGCTACACATGTTCTAAGTGCTCCAAGACATGCTGGGAAGCAACAACACTGGTTGACACGAAAGAGGACTGCTCTTTAAAAAAAGGTCTTAGACCAAGCCTGGCAACTTGGCTGTGCCAATTTCTGCGACCAAAACCAGAGTCCTATCCGGCTAAATTGAAATGGTGCCGGAAATAAACAACATCTGATTGCCCAAGGGCTTGGAAGCTGAAAGGAAGCATGGGGCAATGGTTTGTAGAAGCTAAGGGAAGTACCAAATTCGGATACCCTTGAGAGTGGGCCTGATAATTCAGCCTTGTTTATGTAGCTAAGACATGCACACAAATCGGATTTGCAAGTGGTCCCAATCAATCCCAGTGGATTCGCAAATGTGACAAAATCAGACTTCCCTTCGCCGTGGTGGCGTTGCATCCCCGGGCAGGGTACGTAGTCTTCCATTCTCCTTTTAGTCAGTTAGAAGATGATTCCCTTGGCTTCAGTTCTTAGTGCTTCCAGCAAGTAACCAAAGGAAGCCATCGTGTAAAACCTCGAGCGAAATCCAAAACAAGACCTACTCTTGTGGGAACTTGAATTGAAGCACTGGGCTTGGCAAATGGAATCCTGAAAACTAGTTGCAGCCCTTGATTTTATGAATTCTGGTTTACAATCCACGGAAATCCAACTGGTGCCGAATTTAGGGTATGGAAATTTGGTCCATTGCCCCCAAATATTATGAAGTTTAAAAGAGCCTCCGCGAACCAAGTCTTCAGTCAATGACGTTCACCTGTCCGGGTCAGGAAGCTCAGCTCCAAGTCAATCCTCCATTTCGGTCCTCTGGAGTAGAAATACTTCCAGTGACTCCCTTCAACAAGGCGGGAAGCAACAAATACTCGTGAATCCCTTTAAACCCACCAAAAGGAAAAAGGCTAAAAGGCATATGACAGTTCCATGGCATCCAAAGTAAAGCATATATTTGATTTCCTTAACCAGCAGGGGGCAAAAACCAACAAATAAGCAAATCCAAAGTAAACCATATATGGTTGATTCCCTTCAACACCACCAGGAGCAAAAACCAAAAAAAAGAACAGCACAGGAAGGGTTTTCCAGCTCCAAAGACCCCGCGAAAATTCCTCCGCTCGCGCTCCCGAGACGCTTCCGCCTGCCGACAAGGCCGCGGCCGTGGTCTCCCGCTCGCTCACCAGGCGGTCCCAGTCGATGGCCTGGATCAGAGACCAACTCCCTCCCCACCAAAATAGGTTCTAAAATGGAGGTGCTACCCCAAAATGGGATCCCATTGGTTTTGACCCACAGCCAAATGGGTGTGGCTCAAAATGAAACGATCACAGGGGCAAACCGCAGGTTTTGGTCCATGTTTCCACTTAGAGTTCCATTTTGGTGCCGGTTTTTTGAGCCACGGCCACATGGCCATGGATCCAAAGCCCGGTGAGCCACCAGTGAACATCCCCCTCTCCCCACTAAAATAGGGTCTAAAATGGGTGGTGAATTTATTTACCTCAAAATGGGATTTCATTGAGATGACAACCACAGCCCAATGAGTCATAAGCAAAACCCAGTAGTAAAATGGTCCAAGCCGGTGCTTCAAGGTTTAAGGCGGATCTCCGCAGCTATTTATGGTTGGGATTCTCCGTTAACCTTCATCTACCCGGGTTTTGAGCATCTGGCTCACATGGTGGTTGACACGACCAACCCTGTACGAATCACCCTCTTTCCAACAGACATGGGCGTGGCGTTCGAAACTTCCCCAACAGAACAGTAGTCTTCCAAAACCCTGCTGTCAGCTTCCGTGATTGTTGGAGGGAGGGTACATGGTGGTTTAAAGGGACACTCAAACTACCCAAACAAAATGCACTTCACCAACCACCTTAATTTTGCCCAATTTTCAAGGGAATGTTGTGGAGAGGGAAAACCAAATCCTGGGTTTTCCTGTACATGGGTGGTTAAAAGGGAACCCACCCAACTCAAAGCCGTTGAACCATGGAAGGCGCTTGAAGCAGGCGTGATCTCCCATCAGAAACCGCCGGGTCCCCAATACTACTTTTAGACTAGGCCGATCACAACCAGTGCCAAAAATGGGGTGAAGTAGTCAAGCTCCTTGCACCAACCCCATGCCAAATTGTTAAATGGCATATTTGCCTTTAACTGACTTGAATTTATCGAATGAATTGTAATTCCAAATCTAAATAGCGCGGTCTACCCCGTTTGGACGGCTAAGCAATAAATATTGGTTGTCTGCCAGCCAAGATTTTTAACTAGGGGTGGTCCGTGCTTATTATCGCGGGGAAGGGATTAAGGCTGATATCACTACTACCCCTATTGAAAAACAAAGCTGGGTAGGAACCGAACCACCAGCTAAAATTGCCAAAGGGAATCGGTCTTGGGCGCTGCTCTGGTGACTTTCAGACCCCATTCCTTCCACTACAAGGGCTTGCCTGCAAGCACGAAAGGTATGCCCTGTTGGCAAAAGGAGCCAGCTTGACACTTTCAAGCTTGAGAGGAACTGCTAGTACTGTATGAGACCTACTGATTTTACGTATGGAGTACATAGCACTTCGGTTTTTTCTTTCGATTCCCACCTACTTCAAAACTAAAATCATTTGGTTGCGTGTGTCGTTGAGGCTAACCTCTTTGCCATGGTCAAATTCTTGTGTGCGTCATGGTCATGACTCAGTCGGAACCCTCACAATGGTTGCCTACATCCCATTACATAACCGGACCATATCCCTACTGTGGATGGACAAACTCCTGCACCACCTTTGATACCATGGGAAACCATTATTTGCCGGTATTTACAGGGGAATGGTCATTCCAGGGTCTCTTAGGTGGTGCAGGATTTCGTCCATCCACAGTACTAACCCCAAAAAGATCTTTTGACAATACTGTGTGTGGACAAAATCCACTTCGGATCAGTCCAGCATTCATCCAATTGCCGCCGATCGGACCTCGTGGATCTTGCAACCGTCCGTAGAAGGGTTTCTCCTAGTGCCTGAATGACGGCGTAAAGCGACCACTGGAAGTGTTTGGGACCTGGTAAAGGCAACCATTTGGCACCAAGCTTGGCTGTTGTTTTCCCCTCCTCAAGAAGCTTAACATTTTGTGGGTTAAGTGGATAACCCAAATGATTTTCCAAAAAGTTCAAGTCTAAAGATCCGTTCCCCAACAGCAATCAATCAAGATTCCTACAAAAGCCGCAGATCCGCAAATCCCACTCAAAGCGACACCAACTTCTCCGCGGTGCCAGCGGAACCGCCGCCATGGGGGACGCTGCCGGCGACTCCGGCGCCGGAGTCGAGGGCTCGCAGGCGGCTCGCAGCTCGTGTTCGCGCGCGGCTTTTGCCGCGCGGGCCTCCTGGCGTTGAACCAAGCTTTTGGCCCTAGAATCCCGGGCCTCACTCTTGGTCAACAAGTGGACATTCTTGAAGATGAATACTGATAAATATGGCTTCTCGATTTAAACACGTGGGCTGTGGGTGTGTCTCAAAAGAGAGGCCACAACATTTAGTGGTTTCGAAGCCTCCAATAGAGTCCTTTTGGAAAATAGAGGGCCCTAGATTGAACCACCGGGTAAACCAGGAATCGCCCTCTATTTTTCAACCAAACCCACCGCCAAGGCCACGGGATCCGAATCTTTTCCAACCATCAAAACCCGAAAGAAACAGCGATCGGTTTTTGAAAAGAACGATGGTTAAACAGAATGGAGAAAAGGAATCAAACCCTAGACATGAAATCATTTCATGAAAAAGCGGGTGGATGGGCCAACGGCAGGCTGCAGCGATCCGTCCAACCAAAACCCAGAACCATGGGGAAATAACATCGACCCCTGCAAGAGCGGTTCTGCACAAAAGAAAAAACAAACAATGAACAAACATGATGTGAATGTTGGGCACATGGGGCGTTCCCCATGGATTTTGTTGCCTTCGGCTCACCCAAACAAACAAGCGTAGGAACCGCCCCAAAAATGGATTTTGATTTTCCTTTGAAGACCACCGAAAAGACTGGTACCAACCGGACTCTAAAAAAACACCCGTAAAAGTCAATCTTTTTTGGGGGGTACCCGCCGCTTTGTTACAACACAAATTAAGTATATACGTTTCCAGTTTAAACGCAAAACTAGGACGCCAAAAAAGGAACACCGAGCGCCGTCTTGAGGGTCCCAAAAGAATATATGGCTACAACATACATGAAGACAAACACACACAAAAACAACTGTGTTTTTAATGTGTATATCTATATATAAACACAGATTTCATGTTCAAAGGAAAAGGCCCTTCGCGTTTTCGGACGCATCGCGTCGGCGTCGGCGTCCTCGGCCCGTTGGCTCAGCTCCTGGGAGGCCATGGCGGCCGCCTCCCGCAGCGCGGAGCGGCGGTCCCGCTCGAGGCCGACCTCGGCGCTCGAGGCGTCGGAGGCGTCGGCGTCGGAGGCGTCGAAGGGCGGGGCACCGGGAGCTTCCGGGATGGGGAGTTTGGGTGGGGTGAGGGGGTGAGGGGGTGAGGGGGTGAGGGGGTTGGGTGGGGGTTTTGGGGGGGGGTGGTGAGGGTGTGGGCTTTTGTGGGGGGGAGGTGGTGAGGAGTGGGGTCATGTGGGGGTTTTGGGGGGAGGGTTGTTGAGGGTTGTTGGGGGTTGAAGGTTGTTGGGTTTTGGGTGGATGTCATCTCCCCTTTGAGATTCGCGGTTTGGTGTTCTGGGGGTGGTTTCCCATTTATCCTCTGCAAGAACCTGGGTACAAAGCCCAAACAAAATCCAAACCACCAATTCAGAATTACTTGAACATGGGGTTTGGACGATTTTCTCACGTGGTACTTGAAAACGTGGATCGCGCCCCGCCAGTTCAGGGCTACCTCAAAATGGGTGCCTTAGGAGGTCCCGAACCCCATGAAGCTCCGATTCGGGCCAATTGATTTTTGGGGTAACATCACGCTACCAGGACTGCCTTGCCCCTCTGCGTTCCCCTATATATTCTCCCCCACTGGAGGGGTCTACCTCCCAAAAGGTGCACCTTCAATCCAAACCTCTGGGTTACCCGATCCATGGGACCAACCCTGGTCCTCAGCCGAGCTTCCCTAATACCCCTGACTCACAAACAAAATGGCCCAGGTGAACACTCCAAACCCAAACGCGCCTACTGCAATATATCCCATCGACACCCCTATGTCCAACAAGCAGTTGACCCTCTAGATCTGGGAGGTGTTTGGCAACCCTGAATCAGTTGCCCTTTTTCAGTTGCCTGAAACAAACCCCTTGAAAGGCAAATCCCGAACTTCCGCCAGAACGTGGTGGGAAACCGAAAAACCGCCCCTCCCCCCCCGCGGCGTTTTCGGCGATGCCGAGGGGCGGTTCTCTGCAGTTGAGCGAGCACCGACTGCATCTCAAAGGACTGCAGAAGCTGGCTGCCCATGGCTGCCAACTGCTTGGACAAGTCCTTCCACCGACATCACTTCCCCCCGAAAAAAGGGGCTCCCTTACAACATGCGCCGGGTAAAAACAAACATGTTAATGTTGTATATTTTCATATATCAGTTGCATTTGTTAACAGGGGGAAGCGATTGCTTGGCCCATACCATGCCAACAGTGTGTCCTCGATTTGCTGAGCTGAAGCAGCGTTGGCTTCGTTCAAGCACTCCCACTCCTGGCACGGTCGAATTCAAAGGCTACGTGCTGTTCTCTTTAAGGGAAACCCAAGCGACAACCCTCAAACACGCAGGTGGTGTTCAAGGGGGAAAACGTCAGGAAAAACCTAGCTGCTATTTTAGGCGCATGCTGTGTCATTTAACAACCGTCAGAAAACCCCAACCACCATTCTAGGTGATTATCAAGAAAATGGAGGGCTTGTTTGGCTTCACATGAGCTCGCCACAAAATAGGCAGATTTGTGTAGGGTACAATCCTCTATCCTAATTCTGGTGCTCCGAATGTTCACGTCGGATTAAGCAAAAGGAGGCCCCTAATCAGCCCTGATTAGTATGGTCCTCCAAAAGCCTACGGTGATTTCTGCTTAGGCGCCTACCTTTTGCAGCGTCGTTGCTTCAAAAAACACACACACACACACCAACAAAAAGAGAACAAACAAAAGAAGAGCACAAACAACAAAATAACTCCTCCGACCAAACCCAGGTCGGATCAAAGTTTCTCCCCTCCTGGGTGGACAGCGTCACAGAGTTCTTTGGGCTCTCCGCCGGGACCGCCGCCGCCGCCGCCGGCTGGGGCTGCGCCGCCGCCGCGGAACCCGCGGAACCCGCGGAGGCTGCGGCGCGCTCCGCGACGGGGCGCTCGGTGCCCTCCAAGGGGCGAACCAAGAGCCGGCCGTCCTGCCCGGGATGGCCCAGCGTTTCCAGCCGCTCTGTCTGAAAGTTCCGCGGCTTTCACCCCGGCACGCGGCTTTTTTTCCCCAACTCAGGGGATGGCCCGAAAAGTGTCGGGAGCACAGGAATCAAACCCCAGATCAGCTGGTTTGTGTCTTCCCAGCTGTTGCTGAGCAACGGTGTAGGTTGCCCTCCCAAAATGGGGGAGCACCAGCACCCTTTCTTCCCAGCTGCTCCTGAGCAAAAAAGGTCTAGGTTAACGTTCTGTAGGCAAGCCGGGGAACCTCTTTCCATCTCTCCTGAGCACAAAAGGTCTACGATTTCGCAGGTTTCATGGCAAAGCCCGTGTGGTGCAAGGCCCAAGGAGCTAAGGTCAAAGGCCAGCCATGTTTCGTGGCAACCGGCTTCCTTTTGGTTTCCCAGTAGGGAAAACGTGACCTGAACCGGTGGAGGATAAATCATGAGAATGGGTTGGGGTTCTTTACCAACAAAACACGCCATTATAGGCGAATAAGTGAGTGCTGGGATTTACAAGGGCTTGTCATTGTCCTGTGGCTGCAGGGTACAGCTTCGAGGCTCCCTTCCAACCCGCTCTTATTTTCGGTGACAAAATGTACGGATTCCTTCAAGGACACACACGACACAGCCCGCTTTACGTGGGGATCCTCTAAATCAGCCGGCATTTGGGGTGATTGTTTAACTGGCCGTTGGGCAGGCGGGTCTGTCTTTTTTCTGGTATCCCTGTTTGGTGGTCTTGCATGGAAACCAAAAGGAACCCCCACCATTGTTGGGTAAAAAACGATCTTGGCCACGGAAGTGGGTCTAAATGGGACCTTGGTATCCGTATCCGTATCCGAAACGACGTCGGACTCCGACTCCGACTGGCGACTCGCTCCTTGGAAGATGCGCTGATCCACCCCACAAGTCCCTTCTTCGAGTCTTCAGGAGCATAAACGATCCTTGGATCGCTGACGGCTTTCCCTAACGTTGGTAGGGAGCGTTGCTCCAAATGTGAAGGAAACCCCAAATGGGCCGCGATTTTGGGGGGTCCACTAAAAAAAGACGCCAAAAAGATGGCACACATGTCCTTTCGGTTTGCCTTGGAGCATCCACCAAAAGACACCCACTTGACACACACACACACACACACAAACAATAGGCCAAACCTATTGGGAAGCCGTCCGTGTCTGCTGGCAGCACACGCCGGGTCGCTCCACTCTGCGAGGATACTTTCTTGAAGCTGCCACGACCTAAGGATTGCATGCTGTTCACCGGGACTAAAGGGGGGGGGGTGATGATCAAAGGGTGTCTTTTTCGTCCATTTGCTTAAGCCCCATGGAAAAAAAACAAGAACAATTCCGGCAATGATACATTCCCTTGACAACCAACAAGGGAAATACAAATGTTCTTAAGCAAATGGAAGTGTGGGCTTCAATTGAGCCAGCCTGCTCAATGGATGGACCCACTATGTCCCCTGATTGTCGGTGCCCTGTGAGCCACAAACAATCTTTGAATGGATTTTGGTAAACCACCCAAAAATCGTACCCTCAAGAAAACGCACACCCCACATCTCGGCCATGTGGTGTACACAGCAATGCAAATGTTCCGACTCTGTTTCACAAATCAGCCAGCCTACCCTCAAAGGCAAATATGTGTGTGGGTGTGTGTGTGTTTTTCTTGCTTGTACTCCCGAAATGGTTGTTTTCCTTGTGGCCTTCCTTCAAAACGAAGCAAAAAGCAGTACCCTCGCAAAAAGACGGCAACCACACACGTCTTTGGTTTGGGGCCCAAAAAGCGACAACGGGACCCCGGCGCTTCACTCCGGGAATCCGCGATTCGCCGAGGCGCGCGCACGCGAGAGCCAGGCGGGAGCTCCCCCTGGGCCTCGCTGCGCAGGGACTCCCCGCTGCGGACGATGGCGCCGCGCCCGGAGATGATCTCCACCTCGCCTGCGGCATTTTGTTTTTTGTTCTCCCTTCTCTTTTTGTTTTTGGTTTTCTTTCTTTTCTGGTTTTCTTTCTTTTCGGTCTGTTCTCGCTTCTTTCTTTTCTCATTTCTCTCATTGCTCTTTTTGTTTTCTGCTTTCTCTCTTTTCTATTTTTGTTTTCGGTTTTCTTTCTTTTCTGTCTTTTCTGGTTTCTTTCTTTTCTCTTTTCTCTCTTTTCTCCTTTTGTTTTCTGCTTTCTCTCTTGTCTATTTTTGTTTTCGGTTTTCTTTCTTTTCTGTCTTTTCTCGCTTCTTTCTTTTCTCTTTTCTCTCTTTTCTCCTATTGTTTTCTGCTTTCTCTCTTTTCTCTTTTTGTTTTCGGTTTTCTTTCTTTTCTGTCTTTTCTCGTTTCTTTCTTTTCTCTTTTCTCTCATTGCTCTTTTTGTTTTCTGCTTTCTCTCTTTTCTATTTTTGTTTTCGGTTTTCTTTCTTTTCTGTCTTTTCTGGTTTCTTTCTTTTCTCGTTTCTCTCTTTTCTCCTTTTGTTTTCTGCTTTCTCTCTTGTCTATTTTTGTTTTCGGTTTTCTTTCTTTTCTGTCTTTTCTCGCTTCTGTCTTTTCTCTTTTCTCTCTTTTCTCTTGTTGTTTTCTGCTTTCTCTGTTTTCTCTTTTTGTTTTCGGTTTTCTTTCTTTTCTGTCTTTTCTCGCTTCTTTCTTTTCTCTTTTCTCTCTTTTCTCTTTTTTTTCTCATTGTGTTTTCGGTTTTCTTTCTTTTCTTTCTTTTCTCGTTTCTTTCTTTTCTCTTTTCTCTCTTTTCTCTTTTTGTGTTCTGCTTTCTCTCTTTTCTCTTTTTGTTTTCGGTTTTCTTTCTTTTCTGTCTTTTCTCGCTTCTTTCTTTTCTCTTTTCTCTCTTTTCTCTTTTTGTTTTCTGCTTTCTCTCTTCTCTTTTTGTGTTTTCGGTTTTCTTTCTTTTCTGTCGTTTCTCGTTTCTGTTTTTTTATCTGTTCTCTCCTTTGTCTTTTTGTTTTCTGCTTTCTCTCTTTTCTGTTTTTGTTTTATCTTTTGACTTTTCTCTTCTTTTCTCGTTTCTTTCTTTTCTCTTTTCTTTCTTTTCTCTTTTCGGTCTTGTCTCTTTTCTCCCACTCTATTCTCTCCCTCCCTCATCTCTCTCATCTCTCCCTCCCTCATCCCTCTCACATCTCTCTCTCTCTCTCTCTCTCCCTCTCCCTCTCTCTCCCTCTCTTTTCTCTCAAGCATTTTTAGAGGGAACCTATGACGGCGCGGCTGCACCCCGACTTCGGCTAAAGATTTCGGTGACGGCGCGGTCGGGGTAGTTGGACTGATGGTTGTGAAGTCCAGAAATCGCACCCCGGTTAATGAAACCATGGTTGAAGAAAAACCATAAGGCTTGCTAGGGTGTTTACACGGGGGAATCGAATCATTCCACGGCTTCTTACATGGCGCAGGATTTCGTCCATCCACAGCAGCTTCGTGGCTTTTGTCTCCACATGGGTGGCTCCTCTTTGGAGTTGGTACCCCTTGTTTGGTTCAGGAAAGCCAAACAAAAATCCATCTTGGGGGGTCCGTCCTTTAAAACGACGCAACCAAATGGGCTATGGAACCTAGCACGTTTCCCTTTGGCCTCTTGATCAAATCGCGTTACTGGAGATACTTGGAGTTGCTTTTTTCCGACCCTTCGGAAACCGTTTTCTTTTGTTCATGACCCCTTGAATAAGCCCATTTTCAGCTGGAGAGGTGCTTTTCCTTTGCCGACCAAGCGGAACCAGTTTGCAAACTCAGACCCCGTGCTTCCAGGCAAACGCTGCTTACCTACTATGTTGGTAGAAAGCACTGGGCGAATGTCACAATTAGGATATGGGGCCCACAAATAGAAGTTGTTCCTTTTAGTTTCCCCTGAGCCCAAAGTAAATAGGGCACCCGCAACAAGAGATGCTCTCATTTGGGTGTGGCTGAAAATTAAACAGGAGGGGTTACGCAGGTTTTGGTCCATGTTTCCACTTACCAGGGTTCCATTTTGGTGCCGGATTTTTTTGAGCCACAGCCATTTGGGTTTGCACCCAGCCTCCAACTTGCACAGCAGGTGGTTGACCAGTCTTTGGCTGTAGCACGGCTGAGAGGCTTGCTGACAAGGCACCGCCTCGCAGAGCTGCCGGGGAATCTGTCCACTCAAACTGGGAAACCCTTTTGGATGGTTTCTTCGAAGCCATCTGGCTGTGGGTCAAGAATATGTACCCCAATCCGAACCCTGGTAAATGGAAACGTGGACTGAAATCTTCGGTCCCCTGGGGGGACCGAGAATTTTCACCCACGCCCATCTAGGTTAGGAAAGAAACTATGCGGGAGCTGCAAGTGACTGCCACGAGGCAAAGGAGTCCACCCAATGAATCCGAAAACTCCCGTGTGACACGCTCACCTCCACTCAGTTGCCCAGCTTGGACCCAAAGAGCAAAAGGTGACCACCTTTTGGGGCCATGAACAAACACAGACCAAAGAGGGGAAGGCAAAAGGTCAAAAGGTCGATTCGCCTTGGGCAAGTGAGTCTCAAGGGTGTTTCAAAGGAAAACCACCCCCAAAAATCACTCTAATCTCAGGCTAAATGAACCAAACATCTCCCAACCACCAAGCTGGGTTTCTTACATTATCCACTTGAACATTAGCCCCAAAACAAAAGGTGGCCTCCTTTTGGCCTGGTGGAAAAAGCAAATGATTCCACGTTTGTGATTAAAAATGCAAAATCGGGGGTTCATGGGGAATCCGTTCTTCGGACCCTGAAAAAAGACTGGGTTGTTAATCAGGGTTCAACATTAGGGGTTACTCAACACAAACCCCGCGAAGTCGGCGCCTGCATCGGACAGACCCCGCGCCACGTGCTTAGACAACACGTCCCGCAGAAGCCCGTCGTGGTGACTCAGTTCCGAATCAATGGCTTTGTCATTCAACCCCAAGCGCCTACCCTTCCTTTCCAGTATGACAGAACCAGAGGTACACCCTGTGGCCGGTTGCCCCTTTCCGGCAATCATGTTGCTTCCTCGACATGCTGAACAAACGGATGCAGGGCGATTCCCTAAGGGCCAAATTGGTGGTCGAAACAAAAGATTGGTTCACCAACCTCTTAACACTCTTAAAGAAACCTTCTTTTGACAATGGCATGTATTAGCCTTTGACCATGGCATGTGTCTTCGCCTTGTTCAAGAAGGGGTCCCATTTTGGGATGCCCTTGCTCTCTCCTAGGGTTGCTGAACGGATGCATCCAAACACCTGAGTGTAGGATCCGGGATCTAGTTCAGCATTTGACTGGCAATGTATGAGCCAGGGTCAATATGACTTGTTTCCTAGAGGCCATGGGAAATCTAGGCTTTGTTAACTTGAGTCCTCCCAAATGTAACAAATGTAACCTGGAACCCAAAAACAAAGAGGCACTTTTGCACGACATTCCTCTAAGGTTCCATCTTCAACTGCGGAAATCCCGGTGCCCTGAGCGCTGCTATCAGGGATGACTTCCATTTGCTTTGTCGCCCCCGTGGAAAGAATGCGAACATACGGCCCGTAGTGATAGATTCCCTTTAGTGGGGCTTCAGACCACTTTTGGAGGGAACACCCCGCCAATGGGACGGGCTTCTTCATCCTGGGTCAAGATTACGGACTTTGGCCAGCAGTGATACATAGATTCCCGTTTAACACCAACCAGGCGGGAAAAACAAACACACAAAACATGCTCTTAAGCAAAAAAAACATTCTTCAGCAAATGGGAAGCTGAACACGGAAAGAATCCGGGGGAAAATGAGCGAGCTGGGCTTCGGGCGCGGAGCCCATCTCCCGGAGCTGATCTTCCAAGATCTCGATCTGCTCCTGGCGGCGGTTTTCGTCCGGTCGCGAGATCGACTTTTCGGAGCGCTTCCACTCCAAGGGAATAGGAGCGATCCGAGGAAGCGCTCAACTTTGAGCAAATCCGGACTGGAAGTTTTCAGGGGGCATTTTCCCCAGTGCTTCCAGGCAAACACTATATATCAGTATATGGTACGTGATCATGATTTGTCACCTCTAGTGTTCACGATGGCTTCTTCAGGTTATTCACTACAACAAAAACTGGAAGCACCAAACTATGTTTCGTTAGAAGTGTCAAAATTTGGATATGGACTCCACAAATGGAGGTTTGGCTCTCTTGGTTTCCCCTACAACCCAGGTGGACAGGGCACACGCAAAGCATACGCCCATTTGGGCTAGTCTCAAACCGGCTGCAGTGTAAAAAGTTCATTGCATCTTTGACACCAGTAATGTGTTCGGCCACTCATCGAAGGGCCGAAAAAACGATATGCACATATGTGCACATATATATATATATATATCATGTAATATACTTCTATGGGGTGTGACATTTTCAGGGACCCCCCAAAATGGTGAGTATCCTGTTGGTGTTGCTTTCAGCCAAGCCTAAAAAGGGTACCCTTCAAAACAAGACGAGCCGGCACCCCTCGAACTGGGCAAAGCGGGGAACCATTGCGTGCCAAAACAGCAACATGCTTCTTCTAGCTATGACATGTTCATGGGCTTTTGTGGCTCCTGGATGCTCCTGGTATACAAACAAAACTCAAAAATAAAGACAACAGACACCATGGAACCAATCCACCGGCGGCTTCGGCGCTTACATCGGGAGCTGTCCGAAAACGGCGCCTGCTGCCGCTCCACTTGCTCCCGGAGCGCCATCTTTTCGGACACCAGATGTGCCACCTACATGGAGGAGTCGCTTGCGCGGAAAGACCACCAAAACGGACAACGTCCCGGTCTAGCGGAAGCCAATCAAATAACTTGGTGCTTGGTTGACCCCTCTGCACCCAGTCCGGGTTCATGACTGAAAGCCCCCCCCTTGAACTGCACCCAAAAACTCAACGTCCACAGATCCGCTCCCCAGGCATCAAAAAGCCACCGTCTCCCTCCCGCCTCCTCTGCCATGGTGGCTGCCGAGCCCTCATCAGCATTCGCGGCACGGATGGCCTCCGGGAGGCCCATCAGACTTGGAACTTGAAAGATGGACGTCATGTGTGGGGTGTTTTAAGGCACAAAATGGCACATGTTGAGACTTGGAACACGTGTGGGGGTACCTTTAAAGATTACATGGTCACGAGCGACTTCAACTTCTTGGTCATTGTGTGGCACGATATGTATTACCCGCTTTCTCTGACCAACAGTGTCAAAACCTGATAGAGGAGTCTACCAAAAGCCATGCAAAGAATTCAAATAAAACCGGCGCCCGCACCCATTTATTGCAAGGACTGTCCCGTACCAGCCGTCACTTACCCGGTCGCTGAGTTGCAGGTCAAAGGGATGTCAAAAATAGTGTTCAGTTCCCTCTAATTCATGGTTTGGATTGGTGGTTTGGAAGCTGGGGTGCGGTTTCCCGTTTACCCTCTACAAGAACCAGTGGTTCAAACCACCAACCGAAACTACCTGAGATTTGGGGATGGGGAAAGATGCAGGGACGCCCTACGTTGATCTGAAACCACACGGCTTGCCTGCTCCACACGCGGCAGCACGGCGCCCTCTCCTGGCGATGAACGGCTGCGGCCTGCCAAGCGTTGCGATGTTTGATTTGGGATCTTTGGTGACATGGCTGTGATCAAAAGCCCGTAGCCCCAGTGAACATCCCAATCCCCACTAAAATAGACTAAAATGGGTGGTGCACCTACCCAAAACGGTACCATTGGTTTTGACCCACAGCCATCAGAATTCGGTGGGGAGAAAAAATGTCCAATGAGTTCTCCCTGTCCAACAAAATGAACTATCCCTCTTTAAAGTTACAGCCAATATTCCGTTGAACCGGCATCCTCATCCCATCGATCCCGTCCTGGCTCGCTTGACGAGGCAGGCCTCGAGATCATTCCCAAAGGCCCCAAGCTATCCTTTAAAACCCTTGAAGAAGCTTCCGGAACCTTCCCGGAACAAGACCTTCTTTTTGTTTCGTTCTGTTTAGTCAGCAATGTCAGCACAAGTTGCCGGACTTGCTCGTCAAAGAAACGCCTTCGAGGCTCTGTACATGGCTTCGAAAATGGCATCGCAAGCAGCTCCGCTGTACAAATTAGGTTTGGCTAAGAGCAGCTCGGGTGTCTCTGGGTCCAACTGCTGTAAGGAAGCACGCAGAGAACAGCAGAACTGAAGAACAAATTAGTGACGCAGCATGTCGCCCATCTTCTGAAAGAACTCTGGCACATCCAGTTTGTCCAACCTGGCATTCAGCACACACGGCCCATCGCCCTGGTATGAATCCAGCGCCTCGCAGAAGTGGGTCTCGGTGGAGACGTCTACGCCCATGCCTTTGCCGGCCCCCAAGGCCTCCGGCAGCAGGTGGTAGTTCCAAACCTGGATGTCGTTGTAGGAGTCCTCCCGCTCTGGGTGGATGACCCGCTCGGCGGTGTACCCCGCATTGTTCAGGATGATAAGCATGAAGCGCAGGTTGTGCCGCAGCAAAGTGCCCAGCTCCATGCCTGTCATTTGGAACGAACCATCTCCGTCAAGACATACAACACGACGCTCAGGCGCCGCAAAGGCCATACCTATCGAGATCGGGAACGCACTGCCCAAAGACGCCCAGTTCCCAGGTCCTGCTGTCACAGTGCCCCTTTTCAGGCGCATTCTTGACATGCTGACATAGCCACCGGTGTTGCCTGCAACGATGTCGCCCTCTTGCACAAAGTGCGCAAGCTGGTGGTACATGAAGTCCATGGTCAGGGGCTTCTGCTCGGGGTTGGCGGGCGGCCTGGTGTAGCTGAAAGCAAATGCATCCTCCACCTCGCATTTTGCACGTGGGGTGATCTGAGCAGCAAGACAAGGCAGCAGCTGTCGCAAGTAAACGCCCTGCACCACAGTACCCTGCAAATTGACTGAGTCGTGGCCCAGCTCAATCACGCACTCCTCTTTGATTCCAGTGCTTCCAAGAAGATCGAACTCCGCTCGGGGCATGCCAATGGTGAGGAGTATGTCGGCACCTTCGGTGGCATCGAGCACTTCAGGAGAAGTGGCGCCCTGGTAGCAGCCCACGCAGTTGGGAAGGTGTTCCAAGTAGCCGGCTTTCTGAGCAAAAGTCGTTGCAAAAGGAAGGTTGCTCCTTGCAAGCATCTCTGCAACCACATCTTCAAGACCGTCACGGTCCACGAACAAACCCACCAACACTCCCACCTTCTCGGCCTTGTTCACCGCCGCAGCAACTTGATCCACCATCCGACGAAGCACTTGCTCGTCTCCGCAAGGGGGGTGGTAGTTGAAGGGCGCAGGCATCGGAACTGCGGCCTTTTGCATGTCATAGGGAATCTCCAGATACACTGGCTTCTTCTCGTCCAAAGCAACCTGGAGCAGCCGGTCGATGGTCGCCACGGCCTCCTCTGCAGAATCTATGCGAGCCACTGCAGCCGTAATTGGCGTAAACACTCGAAGTGTCGCACTCAAGTCGCCTCCAACGGAATGATGCAATTGCAGCTTCTTCCCGGACTGATACTCTGCTGTAGGTGGGGCACCCGACACTAAGAGCATAGGGACGCATGCATCATACGCACCAGCCACCGCATTCACTGCGTTGAAAGCGCCGGGGCCAAACGTCACTGCAGCAACTCCAAAGCCCCTGATTCTGCTGTATCCATCTGCCAGGTATCCAGCCGTCAGCTCGTTGCAGGTGCCAACGTGCTGGATCGGGCTTCCCTCTTCAATCAAGTGATCGAACAAAGGCAAGACGTAATCCCCAGGAATGCCGAAGACGTGCTCAACTTTCAAGTCCCGCAAGCGGGAGATCAGGAAGGACGACACGCTCTGTGCCATGATTCCGCTACCGACAAATACTCGTTCTTCAGGAAAAAGGCTTGATCTTCAAGTGATCGGACATGTATATGGTTGGGACCGTTCTGATGCACCCTCCCAACAACATGAAACCTAACCGGGGGGGGGAGGCGTCCTGGAAAACAATTCTCCCGTTCAAGGGGACCCTCCGGTGGGTTCCTCAGTCGCTGAGAGGGCTGTAGCAAAGGTAGACATATGCAAGTTACTTTGCAGTTCTCTAGGATCTTTCTTAGGGTTCCCCTTGGGTTGCTTGAGCTTCTTTTTTGAAGAAAAAAATCCTTGAGTCGCTGGACGTGAGGATACCAAAGTTGGATTTACATCGAGGCCTCTTTTACTGAAAGGGGGGTTTCCTTGGACAGAAGCCTGGCCGAAATCGAAAAACAACTCCTGAGCTGGGCGCAAGGAGCCACGCACCATCTCCAGGACTTCGGCAATCAGCTCATCCAGCCAACCTGAGCTGCTGTGAAGGGTGAAAGGGTGCCACGTTCTTTTCGGGCTTGGCAGCCGGGTGTGACTTGAAAGGTATCTTTCTTGGGGTGGCTTTAACGGGCAACCAAAAGAACACCACACAGATTGAGGGTCCAGAACCAAGAAAGCGTTGCAAGTTTAGAGGGTGGGATATACTTGCCTGTGGACCAAATGCACTCTGCTCTGAGCTGGCGACTCTCCTTGCTGTCTTCCTAGCAAAGACGAAAGTGTCTCACTGAGCAAAAACGTGCCCGGGGGGGGTCCTCAGAATGAGTTTGCCCAAAAATGGTCGGTGGTCTTTTGGTTTCCCTCCAAAATACAAACCAAAAGGGGGTCCACCAGATCGAGAAGCACCCATCCTCGCGCTTCCCGGGCCTCAGATAAGCTACCTGCCGCAGCCTCCTCCTGCTGCAAACGCTCGATTTCGAGCTGCAGCTGGCTGTTCTCACCTTGGGACCACAAACAAGCACAGGGCCCCAGAGTTCCAGTGACCACGTTTCGCCCCCGGGAAAAAATGAGACAACATGTCCCGTAGCGGTAAAACAGTTCAGTGATAGATTCCCTTTAAAGAACATACAAAAATACTTATTTCAGCAAATGGAAGGTGTTTTTTAAGGGACCCCCCCTCCAAATGAGAGCAAGTCTGGCACCACTGAAGGTCTGGCTTTAACAAAAAAAATGGCCCTCAAGGTGCCCGTTGACTCATCGGGGGTCGCACCCTCCGCCAGCACTTCCAGGCAAGTCGCTATGCCACTTTGTAAACTGTTGGAATGCGAATATACTGAACTTCTGGGATGAAGTCTGGGTCAAAAGTGGAGTTTGCGGCACAGGAACGGAACCCTTCGGGTTTCTTGCCTTTGGGTCATAAAACGGCTTCTTCTCGATGGCAAGCACGCCTGGGAGCACTGGTGTGGCCGAGGTGCTGCACAACTCGTCATTCGCAGCATTCTGCCTCGTGCACGGACCCCCGACTTGCCGAACATGGTACAGGTTCATGTAGGCTTTGCTACCCCAATTAAAACAAGAATCACTGAACTACCTACTAAAATGCCCGATAGGTGGGTGCTGCCAGTCAGATGACCATTGCCCTCAGTTGGTTCACGACATGAAGCAACTGGTTGATCCATGATCGTGTTTTGAGTTTCACACCAAGGCCGTGTTTTTGGAGGGGATCCAAATCATTCTGGGGGAAGACGCCCTTCGTATGAATCCGCAAGGTTCTGCTTGAATCCAACAGTAATGACATTGCTTCGAGTCTGAGAAGTGTCCCCTAAAGGACACCCCGGATTAGAGGACGTATCGGGAAGGCCTTCTGGTGCATCCCAAAAGGAAGAGGCTGCTACAGGGACCCAAAGCCTGTTTCCATTGGCAGTGCTCTTGCAAAATTGTTTTCATCAGGGTACTGTGGATGCACCCCATCCATGCCACCAGGTGGTGCCACGGATGCAAATCAGCCCATCACTGGCGGCGCTTTGTGGACTTTGCCCATCAGCATGGGGTGAGATGTTGCACTTTCTGGTCAGTTGGGTGCCCTTTTGCAGCACACAGCGCTCCATTTGTTGATTTCAGGGCCGACTGAAACCAGGGGTGTCCCTTTCGCGGATATCAACCCCCCCTTCGGTTTAAGTCTGGCGGGCAATCCAAAAATCGAAGCCTGGCCCCACCCATATACAGCCCGAAGCTGCCAAAATGGTGGCACAGTCACCGTGCATGGCAACGAAACGGCCCGAATTCCGAATCGGCCCGAGACCGCGAGGAATCGCCTCTTCAGAGCAGCCGCCCAATCGACTTCCTCTGCTTCTGCAGGAAGCCGGGAGGCCAAGAGGCTCTGCTGAAGGCTGAAGCCTCCGGAGAGTGTTCAGGTCTGGAGCGGTTAACTTGGGAAAAACTGTCGGGGTTAAGTGGGGGGGAAGTCATCCCTTCCAACGCAATTTATTCCCTAGGTGCAAACACGCGCTAGCCTGCAAACGAGGAACTGCAAAGCTCGCTTTCAACCCAAACACCGGGCTCCGGTGTTCGCCTTGAAACAGCAAGTGACTGATTCGAAACCCAAGCTTTCCTTTCTTTGACCACGAAACAAAACGGAAATCGGGCCCACCTTACCCCAACGCTTCCCGCTCGTGGACAGGCAAAACCCCGCAAGATCTGCAAAATGGAGGTCTTCCAGTTTGGCTCCTTAGAACCCACCAACTCGGGGTGCCCGCAAAGGAAACACCCACCGACCTCAAATCCCCTGCCCCTCGCGCCAGTTCCCCGGCGACCGCGCGCGAACGCGCTGTCGTTTTCCCGCGCCTGGCCCCAAAGGCAGGCCCTCTTGCAGGTTCTGCAGCAGTGCACCGCTCCTGGAGGGCTGATGCACGTCCGTGGCGGCAAGGAGCATCTTATCTACATAGGCACTAGGTCCTCCAGTAGAGAGATTAGAGAGAGATTAGAATAAGAGTACCCTTTTTTCGGTAGACTATTTTACTAGGGGAACCCTCCCCCCAAAAAGGGGTAAAATGGCACTACTGGGGGACCCAGGGTATATACATGTGTATGGGTCCCTCTTCACCAACCAACTTCGGTATTGCAGAAAGTGAAAAACATTCATCGCGATGGAAAGAAGTAAGCATCCATTGTAGACAAGGCCAGACTTCATATCCGTCCACGAAGAAGAAACTTAGCGATGCTTCACATGTATACCTAGAACTTCCTGCGGCGGAAATTTCTGCCGCAACGCATTGCGGCGGAAATTCCCGCCGCATTCCAGAAAATCAGCCGCAAACCCCAAAAAACACCGCAACCAAAACAATAACGCCGCAACACCGTTTGCTTTCCGGGAATTTCCGCCGCATTCCCGCCGATTTCCGCCGCATTCCCGCCGATTTCCGCCGCAAATCGGGGGGTAGAAAAAACTGAAAACAAGTTCTGCCGCAATTCTAAAAAAACGCCGCAAATCAGGAAGAAATATGAAGAAATGCCGCAAATACAAAAGGCGCCTTTTTTTATTTGCGGTACATCATTCAACGAGAGACGTTGTTGACTCGCTTTAAGCCAATTCACCAACCATCAGTGCCAAATTCTGGGGTTCACCCCGCCCAAGACCGGCCATTTCCCGAGCCCCCGAAGTGCCGAAGAGCTCCCCCCCCCGGCCCCCGGCCCGCTCCCGCCGGTGTGGGCCCAGTTGACCCAGCCCTGCAGGGCTTCCAATGGGTTTGACTCCCTCTGCGGCGAGACGACCATCCTTCGCCATCCACCCGCGCGCGCGGAGGCTACTGTTCGGTGAAGTCCCTTGAGTGTGGAGACGCGCAAAGGGAAAAATAGGGATGGGGACCCCTAAAAAGGAATGATGGTGCTCATTTTGCGGACCCTCTAAACCAACAATAAACGGCAACCTGAAAAACACACACACACACACACACCACACACAAAAGGAATGTGTTTTCTGCCTGGCTCACATCAAGCAAGCAGTCCTGGATGCAAATTAAAAAAGGAATGGTGTAGTACGTTCCAGGATGTAGAAAAGAAATGATGGTGCAGCTGATGTTTTCTATTTGTGACGTTTTTGAATCATGCTGCGCGGATGTTCCGGAATCTGCATGTCACATCTCGGTATTCCCTCCAGTGTGCTGGAACACTGATCAAGCCTCTGCAGTCCCAGTAGTTGACCAAAGGCGGTTCCGCTCATGTCTGTTTCAGCGGGCTTTTGCAAGCGGCCTCCCTGTCCATCCTGCTGAGCCAGCGAATCAAAGCATCGGCTTGGGTGGTCATGCGCATTCCTGGCCCCATGAATCAGTTGCCTTGACTTAAGAAACCGGGTCCCTGTCTCCGTGTTAATTGGTGGGAGGGTAATGTATATAAACCAAGGTGGCTGCAAAATGCACTAGGGTGAAAGTCGACGGCACAATTCCCTTTACGTGGGTAATTCAAACAGGGCTACCTAGACTTCCCCTTAAAACATCCCCCCACCAAAAAATACTCGCCTTTCATGACCCAAAAAGGTGATGTTTCAATCCACCAAAAAGGGAAATACAGGAACCCCGTATAAAGAGAGTTGTGCAATCGACTTTCCTGCAAGTGGTTCGAACTCTCTTTTCTGCTGGCTCAGGCTCGACCTGCGACGCAAGCCCGCATCGTGTTCTTCATCATGATATTCTTCATCATCATCATCTTCTTCTTCTTCTTCATCATCATCGTCATCGTCATCGTCATCGTCGTCGGCCTTCAGTCCCAATCTGACACTGGGTCAAGCAGACCCAGTTGAGTTACAATCTGCCCAAAACCACGCAATGAATCAAAAAGGCGCATATCCGCACCTGTTCCTCGTTGGGCCTCTCCCCTTAACCTTCTTGCCGAGCTTTGACTCTGGCTCATTTGGGTATGGGGATTGAGCCGGTTTTTGTTGGATGCTTTCATTGTGGTTTCCCGAGCCATATAGGCCTTACAAACCCCCAGAACCAGTCCTGAGTGGATTGCGGCGGCTTTGGGGAGCTCAATTCCATCGATGTGGGTCCCAGAAAATCGGTAAAAATCAAACACGATCATGGTACTGTACTTCCCCAAGATTGTGGAACTTAACAGGCAATCGTTTCGACAAGAACAGTACACGTGGCTGACTGCCAGGCCGAGAAAATGGGGAGACTGAGACATTCCGAGCAAAAGGAACGAACAACAGCTGCGTGACTTCCAGTGAAACGGCTTCCTGGGATCCGCCGGGAAACCCACCTTCCCCCCCCCTTTTGGCTTTCTCGGGCGAAAAAGGCGCCTCAGGGGGCGGCTCCAGGCCGGCGGCGCGCATCTTGGAGCGCAGGAAGCGCTCCTCCGCCAGCAGCTGCTCTTGCGCCACCTGGGGCTCTGGGGCCGGCAGGTTTTAGCGTGGGAGAGGGGGGGGGGGGTTCTGGGTTCTGGGTTCTGAGGGGGGGGTGGAGGGGGAAGGAAGCACCTGAAGTGGGGTTTTGTTTGGGGTTTTAGGGTTTTGGGGGGGTGGTGAGGGGGGCGTTCTGGCCGGGCTAATGAAAACTCTGAGTGGTAATCGAAAATTGGACATTCAGGGTGGAGATGGACAACCAAACCACTACCATTACGTAGTGGTTGTATACTCACAGTAGGGCAGGTCCGTAAGTCGATGGCTCCCGCCCAAACTGACACCGGGAAGGGGAAATCAGGGATCCGGGATACCCTTTAGTGGTTATGTAGTGGTTGAAAACCCCGTTGGTTTGGGGGCAGGAATCCAGGAAACCGAAAGGAAAACAACCAGTTTGCGTGGCCTGCAAAATAGACTTTAAGTGTGCATACCACGTGGGTGCCCAAGCATCGTTGGGGATGTCTTTGGAGAAAGGAAAGCATTTGTCATGTCATTGTTTCCCACAAGCGGGGTCCGCATCATCCATTTATTTAAGGACAAAAACGCAAAACAACCACTTCTTTCCCACCCTGCCGACTTCCAGGTCACGCCCCTCATTGCCCTCTCTGTCCAGTTTTGCGTATTCATAGACTCGGAAGGGAGCCATTGCAGCCTTGTAACTAGGGCCCAAGCATGGGTCACAACGTTTCTACGTGGCTTAATTCGGGCTGTAGTACATCTAAAGGCTAACAAAGGCTAAATGAATATGAATTTTCATACGGAACCACCTCAAGTGATTGGTGGAAACTTTTCTCCCCACAGATTTCTGATGTTCGCCATTTCGGTTCAACCACTTAAAATCCCCCCAAACGATTCCACGATTCCCTATGAAAACAGACGACCACTCAAATGATGCGGGCTGCAAATTTTAAGAGGAAATCCGAAAACCATGTCGGTGGCATTGTTGGCGGTTTCTGTTGGGAAGCCGAAAGGAGCCACCCATCGCCCACCTTGATGTTTACCAGCTCGGCGTGCAGCAGCTTGTTCTGCTCGAAGAGCTCCTAGCCGCTTCTGCGACCAGCCGCACGATGCAGGTACGTGGACATTCGGCCAAGTTAGCAAGTGCTTAGCCACTTGGTATATAACTTCCTAACCCCACTTAGGGGACTCATAAGTGGGTCATAACCTAGGTTAACAACCACTTACTAACTTGGCCGGACACCACATGTCACTTACTTGCCCCTGGGCGACCTGGAAATACAAGGTGATCACCTTTTGGGACCTTCAATGAAGGGAGTTATAAGGTCGACTTTGGGCAACGGTCAAAATAGGGACACCTGAAAACAAAAGAAAGGCTTCGGTCTTCCTTTTGACGTTTCCCTATCAACCAACCCCAGAAAGGGTGCCATCAAAAAGGACACACCCATGTCATTTTGCACGGCACATCGTGGACATCAGAAATACCACGTAAAATGACATGGGTGGCGGGACATTTTGCTGGGTTGAAATGAAAATAATATCTTTGAATTGGTGCACATCAGAAATACATGAAATGCATGGCTAGATTCAACATTTGTGTCCGTCAACCATGCGTGCCGGTACTAGCCATTTGGAGATGTGGATGGGTGGTAGGGAAGGGTTGTTTAACCTCCAACCCATGCAAATCGGGAAGAGTTGCAAATTCGAGCTTTCCACCCTGTCGACAGTTCTTCTCTTCTAGTGTGGTTGTGTTTGGGGGCAATCAAAGTCAAGTTGGTTCTGTTCCTTTCACCTTGGGTGACTTGGACAATGGGCGTGGCCTTCTCGTTGGCTTTGGTGCCATTCCACTCATGGGAGGATGTTCCAAGGCTTTGATGAACTCAGGGGTGCCCCTTAGTTTGGGTTTAAGTCTATTTCAAATGGTTTGTCCCCGTGGCCCATACAGTCAAAGGCCATCAGACATTTGATCAACCACGCGGTTTGGATTGACATAGGGATCTCCTTTGATCTGCCTTTGCCTTTTTGGAAAGCCGGGTCCCCAATAAACAACCTAGTTTCCATGACCCTTTGATGAAGCCCATTGCCTTCCAGTGTCTTTGAGCTGCTTCGTAGGGACAACAGACTGGAAGTTATGAAGGTAGGTCAACCCATTGCAACCCAAACGGGTGGACCTGGAGGGCTCCGAATCCCATTTCTTGAGAAAGAGAAAGATCCAATCCGATGCCATGGGAAGTTCTCCGTCTCCTTGTTCAAGGCCATAATTCCCACCTCGGCGGTCTTGAGGGTCACGCGCTCTGCTTTGGTGCTTCTCAAAGTAATTGGCTCGCCGGAGTTGGCTTCCCTGAAAAATACCAACCACGAGGAGCACGTGACACCCGTTTCAGGCGAAGACGGGGCCGCCCTGTTTGCACCCTCTCAACCCGAGTGAGATGCCTTTTGACCATTTGACGCTTTGGACCCAGCACTTTGGGGGGTGTTGCAATTCCTTGCGGGCCGGCTGTGAGGTTCCTTGAGGTTCCTTGGGATTCCTTGAGGTACAGCCCAAACCGCTGACCACCCACCTCCCCACCGCAACCGCACGCAACGCTCTCAGCGCCTCACGTACTCAGACATGGGGATGTAGCCCTGAAGCAGTGCCTCCTCGAAGGCGACAAGAAGTGAGGCTATCCGTGAGAAGCTGGCTAGGAAAAAACAACAAAAACATCTAAAGGAAACCAAACATGATTTGTGTTCTATTTATCTAGCTACTTTTTCGACTTTCTTTCTTCTTCTGTTTTTTTTTGGGGGGGGCAGGAAGGGAGAAGGGCGATGCTTCCCACATTTTCCGCGGTACAGTTGGGGCTCCCAATCGCTCGCCATATACAGATCTTCTGGGCATCCCTGGCTTCTTGGCTCCAATGGACAGTGGATCGTTGACTTCTTCGGATGGCTCTCCAGTCTCGATCGGCCCCCTGGCCTCGGCTGAGCCCGGCCTGGCACCAAAGGGTCGGTAGGCGAACTGCCCTGGGTAGCAAATGGGAAGCCTGAGGAAGGAGAATTCGTGTTTGAAGCCTCCCAAATGGGACGGGATCATTTATACATCCGGCGAGCGAGGCTTAGAGCGGGCTTTCCACACGAATTGTCCTTCTGAGTCTTTATGGTCGAACACCATGGGTAGGCTGTTGGTCCATGTCCTTAACCAAAAACTATACGGGGTGGGGGGGAACCCTGGAGAAGGATAAGCTCTTGCTGTGGATGGACACCATCCTGTGGTGGATGCCCCTGACGTGGATTTCATCAACCTGCCCTGGGGTTGAGCGCGGTGAGAGCCCCAGGCCAGGGCAGCTTGAACCCTCGCGCCTGGAAGTTCCGTGGCTGCCTGGCTAGGTTCAAATTTCAACTGGTGGACAGAAATGCCGTGATTTTTTTTTTGGATCCGCAACCAGGCATTGAGCCTGAGGTGCAGTAAGATCCACAGGCTCCTAAATTACTAAAACCCCGTGTCTGTTTTCCCTGCCCAGCTCTAAGAAAAGTCACTGTGACTCTTATTGGCTTGGTGGATGCGGGCACCTCGACGCCAAGCAGCAAGGGTCTTAAGGGTGGGCCTTCCACCTGGCTACTCTGGACTTCAACCCAGGCGTGATGGCCTTAGGGAGACAACCCTGAATTGTTCTGCTTCTTGGGGTCGAACCATTTTTGGGGGGAACGTTCTTCAGGGCGAAAACGCAAGGGCCTCGCGATTGATGCCCTGCCTGCGGAGGGCGCCCTCGAAGAATCCTGGTGGGGTGCAAGAAATTCGAATACTGCGCTGCAAATGAAACGAACCTGGATCGCGTGGCCATTTACTGTTTTCCAGGCACATCTGATCCTCAATCAACAAACAGTCGGGAAGAAAGAGCAGCTGGCGGTGAGGAAGCTAAGAGGCGAGAGGACGGCTCTTTGAGCCCCAAGAAGATGGGGCTTTATGGTGAGCAGAGCGAAGTCCAGTCGGCAGAAAAAAACGTGCAAGACCCTTGCCAGGTGGTTTCAAGAAAACAAACGGACCACGCAAATTGGGGGGGGGGGGGTCCAAAACCCAATTTGCTTTGACACGTGGCTGTGGCGTTTTGGCCCAAAACAAGTGACCGAACTTGTTGTTTCCCACTAAAATGGTCCAACCCCGCAAAGTCTGAAGGAACTGAGGAAGTGTGTTCCCCCAAAAAAAAGATAAAAGAAAAGAAAACAACGAGGTGGTTGAAGCGTGGAAAAAAACATCCATTTCACACCATCAAAAGGAGACTCACCGCTAAGAAAACAGGCCCAGCTTGGGCGATGTTCAAACCAGCCCCCGGGGCAAACACAGACACCCCCTTTTCAAATCCGGGTTGCCTGCATTCCATTTGCTTGTGCCACCTGCAAAAAATGCCCAGTAGTGATAGGTTTTCTGAAAAACAATACTACGTATAATAATAGATACATATGTGTAAGAACAATAAACACATTTCAGCAAATGGAAGTTACCTTTCACCCACCGCGCCTTTTGATTTTCTGGGCCACCCTGCCGTGCCCGACACGCCGGAGCTCTGCGGCCGCAAGCTGGGCAGGCGAACAAGACTTGGTTTGGTTACCATTTTCAATGGGACCAGGCCCCGAACGAGAGGTTCCCGGTGAAAAGGGTGGAAGGGTAGAAGGGTACCTGTCTTGTAGGCCAAAATGGTAAGACAAGAACAACCTGTAAAACCCAAGAGGACATGCATGTTGGTTGCCCGGGATTCACATTTCCCTGGATCGGAAATAGGCAACTGTGACCGCTTTTCAGAGCGTGAGAACAAGCACCTCGGAGGTACCCCAGTGCGACGGAGACCCCCGAACTGGGATGTCCATAAGGGGGCTTCCCTTACCCAAGGGGTGCCCTCAAAAGATACACATCGGTTTGGTTTGGAGGTGTGGTTCAAAAATTCCGGGTTTGACTGTAAACCCCATGAAGGCAGGTACCACCTCCTCTTTAGGCTGCTCACATTGTGCGCCCAAAACCCCAGCTGACGTTGGGTTCCGCCGTTTTTTGTCTTTTCTTTTTTCTGATGGAGGATTGAAATCCTGCACCAGTTCGGATAGAAGAAACCTAGTTGCAGCATCCACATGTGGAAATAATAGGCTTTGCTATAACCCCAATATACCCCACTGAACCCCTGGACGTCGTGGGGCCTTGGGTTCCCTAGGCCCGGCAACGGCTCGACCCGGACCACGGCCCACGAACCCCGCGCCGGCGCTGCAAGGGCGAAGGCGAGCTCCCGCGCGCGGAGGGCGGAGCTGGCCCGGCGAAATCGGACTCGGCAAAACGAAAATTTGGGGCCGCCTCCATTTGCTTTTCCCGCCCCCTGAAAAACAACTTGCTGGTGCGATAGGTAGGGAATGAGTGAACTATTTGCTATTTCGACCCCTTGCTGGTGCTCAGTAGGGAATGAGGGAACTCAGAGGTGCTTTTTGCGCCCTCTGGACAAACTTGCTGGTGCTCAGTAGGGAATGACCGAGGGTGTTGGGAATGAACTCACCTGGAAAAAACTTGCTGATGCTTAGTTGTAAGTCAGAGGTCCCCTTAAAGGAAATCACCAGTTGGATGGTTTACAAGGGTCATTCCCTCGTTCCCGGCTGAGCACCAGCAATGAGAAAATATGTCCAGTGGAATTGATTCCCTGGAATCGGGGGGAATATAGAGATACTGTGCATGGTTTCGAAATTCATTTCGCGCCACCGTTCAGAAACCCTGGTGTCTGATGATTTCCCTGTATGGTTTCAAAGTGGTGCAGGATTTCGTCCTAAGTCCGATAGCGGAATCAATTCCCTTTAAACAGGGATAAACAAAAAAATGCAATGGTCCTTCCAGCAAATGGCAGGTCGGGAATCCGGGAATGCCGCCCAACCCCCCAACCACTGCTTCTTGGTTTCCGTTCCGGGGTGATGCGGGGAAAGGCTCCCCCAAAAGCCCATCCCTTGTGTGGTTCGATCCCCAGGTTGAAAACCAAAAGCCAAGAAAAGCAAGCCTTTTTGGGGGCATTGATTCTAGCACATACCCACCCGCCCCAGAACCCTACCCCAAATGAACATATCAAAAGGAGGGGGCATCCATACCAGAGAATGGGTCATGCATGGCCAATGCAGGGTGCACTTCCCAAAAACTGTTGGCGTTGTGCTGCCTATGCTGAAGCTACTCAAAACTGTTATCAACTGATCTCAAGGCTTCATGAGGCTGCATCCGATGCGTGCAATGGTCCGGACTGGTTGGGCACGCAGCTACCAATATATGCAATGGTCTAGCCTCTTTGCGGAAAAAGGAAATCATTCCAAGATCCACAAGCTACCTTTTCATACGGGGTTTCAGACGACCCGTGCAACAGGTCCCTGGAAAAACGGGTGCTCGTTTCTTACATCAGAACACTTTCTCAGACATATTGCGATTGTGTCCCCACCCCCTCGTGCTATCAGAGCGCCTTGTGGAGGCTCCGGCGATGCACGCACATAGCCTGGTGACAAGGCTTAACACAGGAATCGGTCCCCTGAAACGGCTGGCGTTCCTGTTGGGCTCCCTTGAAATGCCAACCAAATGAAGGGCCCGTTGTGAGAACTAGTCCACTGTTGCTGGTGAACAAAGAAAATGAAGGCAACCCCGCAATGACCAAAGGGCAAACCATCCGGCCAGTGAGTCCGGCGTCTTTTCAGGCGGACGGCACCCACTTGTGCTTTTGACTCTTGATTCTCCCAAGTCCAGCAACCCCTCAATTGCTTTGGATTGGTGTGACCTGGGATTTGAACCCTGGTTCCTTTTTGCAAATCACCTAAACCACCAAACCAAGCCCGAAAATGAGCCTTAAGGTCACGAGTTGCTCAGGAACTCAAGGCGCTCAAAAGACAGCACCCGAGTGGAAAGTGTTCGCCCAAACACGCACATCAAAATGTGAAGGTGCCCGGCAAGTAGCAAAGGTCGGCAACGTTGACGCATCTGCCCGGAATCTTGACTTGCCCACTTGAGGCACACCCGCCACATAGCAAGGGTTCGCTCAATTAAAGACCTCATATGCCGCAATTCTCAATACAGGTGCCCAAGAAAACCCCCGCCAAGCATTGCGGGTGGTGTGATGACAGGTATGCCAAAATGGTCTCAAGGGAACATCCGCCAAGTCCAGTTCGCCCAAGTGATCAAGCATCTGCCATGTGAATCTGCCTTCCTCAGTTGCCAGGGACCTGGAAATAAAAGTTGATCACCTTGGATCTTTTCTACAAGTGGACCCACAAAAAAAAAGATTAAAAGGTCGGTTTGGGCGATTGAGCCAAACAGGGAGCACCCGCCAACTTCTGCGGTCTCACTGCGCCGTCGGAAGATGGCGAGAGCTTTGGCTTTGCCATTCTTTTTAGGAGGCTCGGAATGGCTACCCAGCCGATCCCAGTTACCCATTTGGTAGGTAGCCAGCAATCTTCTTGGTTTTTCCATTGGGTGGGAACCCCCTTGGTTGCAGACACACCCACATGATTGAACCAGTATTTGGCTCCTTCCCAATTCAGGCTCGGAGTTCCAATCTCGGCCATTGGCGCCTTCAGCGTCCTCTCGTGGCCTGAAAAGTTGGCTCGTCAGAGCCCCTTGATGCGTGTAGGGGGTTAACAAGCCGAAAATCTGTGTGCAGATTCCGCAAGATCCCAAGTGAGCAACCCACCTCGCACCAGTTTCAGAGCAAATGTAGCGTTAACTTCAGATTACTCCGGAGGATCATGCTAATCAGGGGTGGCTCCTTTCTAGCGGGGAATGGTCAAGTATTAAAGGGGCGTGCTTCCTCGACCATTGTCCTCAGGATGAATCCGAAGTTAGCATGGTGGTTGACCAGCGACTCTTTACCAAAATCGCTTCAGTTTACATTTGGGTGCAGCCCAAAACGAGTCGGGGGACCGCAGGTTTTAGTCTTTTCCATTTCCCAGACCAACCCGGTTGGAAGAGAAAACAAAAAAAAAGAAACGATTCTAACTTTTTGTCGCACTCATTTTGCGAAGTGCCAAGTGTTTGAAGGCCGCCCCTGGTGTTTTTGTTGAATCCAAAGGGAGACCTGGCCAAACGCGTTGGCCTCGGCGGCTTTCGGCTGGGTGAGGCCTGGGCACCGGCGCGGCGACGTAGGTTTTGCATGGAATGCTGACTGAGCCACAAATGGGTGTGCGTCCAAACAAATACATGTGCATAATTCTTATATATATCTATATTGATATATATATATATATATACATACGTAATTTTATATGATAATAGATGTAGTGTACATGTGGGTGTGTGAGTATCGGTCAGATATGAGATTTGACTGGTTGGAACACCAACTCCAAAAGGGAGTTCGGAGGTGCGTGCATGAACCCACCATTCTGCTTTCAACTTGTGGTTTCCGTGACTAAGCCGAGACCGGAGACGACGTCCCCGCTGCGCTTTGCGCACCCCCCGGAGAGCCGAGCCCGGAGCCATCTCGGCCGGCAAGCGATCCATGTGGCCCTATGAACATGGAACCTCAAACAGTCGAGGAGGTCTCGACAGGTGGGGGGATCCCTGCTGCCTGTAGGAAGGACGCCAATTGGATCTTCGGTCAGGCTTGTAAGTGGTTCACCACTTGGTTTAAAACTTCCTAAGGTTGACCCACTTAGCGGGATTTACAAGTGGGCTGTAACCTCCATTACCAACAACTTACTAACTTGGCCGAACACCTAAGTTGTCAAAAGTCCTGGGTTCTTGCCGGTCGAAGCTGTCAAGAGCTCTGGGTTCTATTCATTTGTACACGACCAGAGCGAGCAGCATGTCTCCCTTTGCTCGTCTGGTTGTTTGAACTAGTGCCACTGCTTCATCGCACCCAAACCGAAGCGACATTGTAACTTCCCTGGCTTTCAGTTTCGGTGGTTTCAATGGATCTCGGAATCTGAATAGATCTCTTGGAGTGCATCCGTTTCCCCTTCGGACTGCTCGGAAAGCCGGTCTTTGATTTGCTGCTTTCTGTTTTTTTGGGGGGGTTTTGTTTTTTGTTTCTTTCCGGCGCCACATAGGTTCGGAACTCCACAACATGGGGTCCAAATCGCTATATACGCATACGCTTCAGCCAAAGGACGGCGGCCAGGTGAAGCATGGTCTTGCTGTTGGAGACCCCTCTGTGGACTGTACCATCCAAAGGGGTCATCCAATTCCAATCGTTGATAATTCTTCAGGTTCCAAGAGTTGTACAAAGGTCGTACCCGACAAATGAGGGTCATTTGGAGGAGTTACTCTTTCAGGGAGCTACATGTCGTATAAACGGCGCGAGCAATTGGGGGTATGACCTCACGATCTGATTCGACCAACGAATTTGCCGCAGTTCAATGCCGACTCCCTCTCGCTTCCCGTGCTTGAATCCATTTCCAGTTGTTCAAGCCATTGTCCACACTGTGGATGGAGGAAATCCATTTCGCACCACTTTCATCACATGGGAAACCATTGGTGCTTTGGTCTTTACAGGAGAATCATCAGAAAACCAGAGTGTCTCAGGTGGTAGCAGTGGAGTGAGCTGTCCGCGCCAAGTCGCAGCCACCATTTTTCTGCCATGGAAGCTCCAAAGCCGCCGGCCTCTCTTCGTAAGCCGAATCCGAAGGCCTCTCTTCGACCCTCCGAGCCGCGGTTTGGACGTCCGGAGGGCCGGGCCCGGGAAAAAGGCGCGCCAACCGGGGGGGCTGAGTTTCCCCGCGCCCAGAGATGCAACCCACATCCGAAAAGCGACAAACATCACTGCGTCCAATGTAGACTTGCATCTGAAACCTCCTTTGATGTGACATACTCTCATGTATATCATAACTTGTATGATTCATAAGATGATATGTGTTACTTCGTATCCGGTCGGACTTAAGAGCTGATTCACGTCAGGCCCGAAAAGCGGCTCTGGGCATTTGCCAACTTGTGGCTTCTTTGGCCGAAGGCTCGAATTGAACTTGCAGAAGGTGGCACAGGTCAAAGCAACACGAGTTTTCTTGCTGGTGCTCAGCAGGGAATGAGGGAATGACCCCTAGAAACCACACCCTGTGGTTTCCTTTAAGCGAATCCCAGGTTCATTCCCAACATTGTGGGGCATTCCCTACTGAACACCAGCAAGTTGCGGGTGTGGTTTCGACCCTTTTCACTTTGATTTTACGAGAGAACCCAAACAGGAAAACCACAGTTTTGGGGGCCAGGAAATTCAGCCGAACCTTGAAGGGGGCTGTCAAGTGCGAATAGAAGGACTGGGGCCAAGAGGGTCTAGGCAACCCCCGTTCCATGCCACCAGAAAAACGAGAGGTCCAAATCAGCCATTCCGCCGATTTCGAGGTCCCGCGCTGTTGCCATTGACTGAAACATAAATCCGAGCGGTCTATGACCGACCCATGAAAGGCTTGCTCTTCGACAGGCCTTGCTCTTGGAAATCCAAGAGGCTCACTTTCTCACAACTCGCAGCACCTTGGTCAGGGCTGTCTGAACTTGCCCCGAACTTCACCCTAAACTCACTTTAGACTGGCCTGCGGTCGAATGTCCATGTCCTCTGAAACGCCCTAGTCGATTGACACTTGAAATTGGCCCAAAAGGCACCAAGATGGATACAAATGAACCAATAGCTGTCTTACGGGTGGACCCGTGGTGTCCAGCTTCCTCCGGGACCCGCCTCAAAAAATCCCGCCAATAAGAATGTCCCGCAGAACCAAACATCCCGCTACTGAGCCAAACATTCTCCAAGAATCCCGCGCAAAAAAAAAACGAACCAAACATCCGGTTTGCGAGCCGGAAATCCCGCTTGTCGGGCCAAAAAAGTCAAGGTCGGTTTTTCGAACCACATCCCGCATCGAGGTCCGATGCGGGCCCCCGCGCCACCGCCAGCGCGCCCAGGCTCAGAGCGCCGGCGCTGAAGGCCAAGGCCAACACCTCGCGGTCTCCCGATGCGGCCGATGCGTGCGCGGCCTGCGGCCTCTTCCCCCCGTGCTGGGTGGTCTAAAGGGACATCACCGGGAAAGCCGCCACGTTGAAAAAAAATCCCCCCCGACACCCCGCCAAAAAAAAGAAGACACATCCATACTGTGGGCTTCCCTGAAATATATAGTGATTACATTTACATGTATAGTCTAGAACCAAGGGAACCACCCAATAGAAGAGCCGAGAGGAAATGGGTTGCGTACCATGGTGGCTTGCCTGGGATGCACTGGGATGGTGTGGATGGACAACATCCTGCAGTTGCTAGCTGGTTTCTCCATGTTTATGCGTGCGGGTCTGGGTCTCGCATCTTCTTGGTCCGAAAAAGGGGAACTAAAGGGTCAGGTCCGGTTGATTCGCTTTGGGAGCAAGTGAGTAAAAAGGCTACTTGTTGGCAAAATTGAGAAAAAGTCTTCACCAGCTGTTTTAAAGGGTTGCTAATTACATCGTGTACCAGGTGATGTTCGGTGTATCAATGTGTATCATATGAAATCCACAAGGGACCCTGCTCGTTTTTTCTTTCAGCAAATTCAAGCATTCAACTTGGGGCATTCAGATTGAACACATACAAATGAGGTTTGTTGCAAAAATGGCATAGATTGACTTTGACTTGGAGGGAGCATACTCTTCTTGGTTGGATTCCCCCGTGGGGACACGGAAAACGTGTCATGTCATTCATGTCACTCTGCAAGCGTGGACCACGTCGGCACTCAAACAAATCCGCAAGCCAGCGCTCCTTTTCAGTGCGCTGCACATCCGTCACGCTCATTCTGAGCCAAGGACAGACGAGGGAGCTGGCCATTTTCAAGTGGATCACTGTTGGGACTTGGGGATAGCCAAGCGTGGGATCCGATCGAGCCCGACTCGATCGGGAGTTACAATCAATTTCACGCTCATTCTGAGCGGAGCAAGGATGAGGGAGTCAGGCCATTTTCGAGTGGATCACTGTTGGGTCTGTGGGGTCAAGATCTTGGGTCCCTTGGGGTTGGAGAAAGCCCCTCCCTCTCCCTGGTGAGCACTGCCCTTCCCTTGAGTCATTGAGGAAAGAACTGTACTGGCAGCTTATGTTCAGGGAAACGGGGATCTGCTGGGCCCAGGTGACGAATCAAAAAGTGTCCAATCACAGGCAGCTTACGCCGCATCTTCGATCGACTTGAGTCGCAATCAAACCCTCACATTCAACTGCTCTCCTTCAAAAAATATATGCACAGAAGTACAGAATCAAAAGGACACATATCCGCACCTATTTATGGCTGTAACAATCCCATACTGACCGTCATCTACCCGGGTTTTGATTACCGCTCATATCCTGAGTTCGAAATCTTCTGGGGGCGCCTCCGGCACCAGCAAAGGAGGCCAATGGCTAAAGCAATGACAAGTCCAATGCCAACACAAATGGCCACAATGACAATAGTCATCGAACTGCTTCGGGCTGTACATGCGCAGGAGCCGGAAGGGTTGATGATCTCCAAAGCCATGGATCCTTTATCCTCATGGTCCAAACGGTGGCAGTGGAGCATCATCTCCCCTGCGATGTGGGTAGTCTTATAGCGCATGGTGACTGGGTCGCGGGTAAGCCCCTCCGCCATGAAGGTGTCATGCCAGTCCCCAAGCCGGAAGTAGTCACTGTTGGCAAAACCCGCCACGAGTTGGAACGGGTAGAGGTGCTGATGGTATGGATGGCCTTCCGTGTGGAGCTTGCGTTCAACGATCGCGCCAAGGAAGGTTTCATGCAGCACTTTCTGGTAAGAAAATGGAATATCGTTGATCGACTCAGCCTCGACTGAAGTTTCACAGCTGCAACCCTCATTTGGGGCCATGCTCCCTAAGTCTTGCAAATAGTCGGGGAACGAAGGTGACCAGGGGAGCAAGTTGGAGCTGGCCACGCTGGCGCTGGATGTTCGCACGGTTGCAATCAGCACACCTCCGCTGGTCACACGGTAGCTCGCAAGAGGCGCGCTGCACCTTACCATGATGTCAGCGCGGCCCCCTGCAGGGATGGCAGCCACGGTGATCGCGCGGGGGAAGTCGCTGATGTACAGACCATCCTTGGCCAGGAGCTTCATCTCGCAGTCGATGGCGAGGTTCAGTGCACCTCTTCGCACGTTTCGCCAGCCGGCAAAGATCACGCGCCAGCGTTGCCACTCGCTGGGGTCCATTGCTAGCTCAGGGAGGTGCTCACCGTTCAAGAGCATGAGGTCCGGGCCGTCTGGGGCAGACCAAACCAGGGTGTCTTTAGACTGTTGGGCGATCCTGTTGAGCTCCGAAAGCCCAAAATCCTGTACCACCAGAATCACCTCCTTTGCAGATTCCACCTGCTGCGGCAAGCTGCTTGCTGGGTCCTCAACAATCAGTGCCAGCGCCGCACCCCCTCCGACCTGCAAAGCGGAGGAGCCGTGCCGGTGCGGGTGGATCCAGTGGGTGCCAGGCATGTGATCCTGTGGCAGAACGGTCTCGTACTGGAAGTCTTCACCAGGTTTCACCACCAACTTTGTGTCATCTGAAGGCAACTCTGCCGGCACATGCAGCCCGTGAAAGTGCAGATTGGATTCGTCCACATATCCCAACTCGTTGTGGTCTCGCCTTGCACCCGGCTGGGCTGGCAGGCGGTTTTGGAACAAAATTCGGACCCTGTCCCCAGCTTTCACCCGAAGCGTTGGCCCCGGCAGAGTCCCATTAAAAGTAAAGGCTCTCAGCGGCACCTCATTCGCCACGTGGGAGCCGACCTCCAAAGTGAGCACTTCATCCAGCACACCCCCGACGGACCTCACACTCTCCGGCTGCCTCATCCCAACATTTTGGGAACGGATCGATGGCCAGTTGTGACTGGTTTAAGGAACACGCAGCTGGGCGATGGCTGAAGATTTGAGCCACCCAAACCCAGCCGCAGTCCAGTCAGGTGCGCTGCGGCAAGGAAACAAGCTGCAACCATCAGGCAGTGAAAGACCCATGTCCCTTAGTCGGGGACTTACGCCTTGGACCCGGTTGAGTGACAACTTGGTATTCAAGTGGTCTACCCAACCCACAGTAACAGACTCGACATGTCCGCACCTAGGGACTCTGCCTTACCCGCAGGAAATATTCATCAATATGCCCAATGGCAGTGAATCTTTGATGGGGAACATCCTCCGAAATGGTTGGACACAAAATCCCCGCTGAGTTGCTGATGTCAACCATTTTGGTTCCAGGACCAGGACCCATTACAGTAAGAACATCATTCCCAAATATCATTTTTTTAAACTAACCCTACATCCAGCCTACACCACCCTAATGGAGAACCAAACGTTAAAAGGTTGGTGTCTTCCATTTGCTAAGTCCTTGGAAAAAAATAAGACACAACACTAGTGAGAGATTCCCTTGAAAACCAACAGAGGACAACAAAACGTATATTCATTTCAGTGAATGGAAGGTGTTGGTTGGTGACTCCCTTTAACTAGCAAGAAGCAACACATATTCATGATTCCCTTCAAGCCCACCAGAAAGCAAAAAACTAAAAGGCAAATGCAACTGAGCAAATCTGAGTAAACTTCGAGTCCGAAAAGGCCCTCGGCGCGCTCGCTCGGGCCGGCGGGCCTTGTTTCGGCCCTTCTCCATGTGCTCGGTCCGCTGCCTCAACTCCTCGCTTGCCGCGGGCCGCCCCCCCCCCCCCGTTTGATTGGTGAACCAAGTTGTTTGTTGTTGTTGCTGTTGTTTGTTTGTTGTTTTGTGTTCTTCTTGTTTTCGCGTTTGATGATTATTTATTATTATTATTATCGTTATGATGATCATTATCATTATTACTAAATTATTACTATATTATTAATATTATTAATATCATTTTATTATTATCATTGTTATTATTATTATCATCATCATCCTCCTCCTCCTCGTCGTCGTCGTCGTCGTGGTTGTTGTTGTTGTTGCTGTTGCTGTTGCTGTTGCTGTTGCTGTTGCTGTTGCTGTTGCTGTTGCTGTCGCTGTCGCTGTCGCTGTCGCTGTCGCTGTCGCTGTCGCTGTCGCTGTCGCTGTCGCTGTGTCGCTGTCGCTGTCGCTGTCGCTGTCGCTGTCGCTGTCGCTGTCGCTGTCGCTGTCGCTGTCGCTGTCGCTGTCGCTGTCGCTGTCGCTGTCGCTGTCGCTGTCGCGACTGTCGCTGTCGCTGTCGCTGTCGCTGTCGCTGTCGCTGTCGTGTCGCTGTCGCTGTCGTGCTGTCGCTGTCGTTGTCGTTGTCGTTGTCGTGTGTCGTTGTGTCGTTTGTGTCGTTGTGTCGTTGTGTCGTTGTCGTCGTTGTGTCGTTGTGTGTCGTTGTTGTGGTTGTTGTGTTGTTGTTTGTTGTTGTTGTTGGTGGTGGTGGTGGTGGTGGTGGTGTTGTGTTGTTGGTGTTGTTGGTGTTTGTTGTTGTTGTTGTTGTTGTTGTTGTTGTTGTTGTTGTTGTTGTTGTTGTTGTTGTTGTTGTTGTTGTTGTTGTTGTTTGTTGTTGTTGCTGTTGCTGTTGCTGTTGCTGTTGCTGTTGCTGTTGCTGTTGCTGTTGCTGTTGCTGTTGTTGTTGGTGCTGTTGTTGTTGTTGTTGTTGTTGTTGTTGTTGTTGTTGTTGTTGTTGTTGTTGTTGTTGTTGTTGTTTTAAGGGAAACCGAGCTACCCTCAAAGAAACAGACTCAAATTGGTGTTGCACTCAATATGGTGGAGGAGTCCTGAATTTGAAGAAAAACACACACACACACACAGACACACACGTGCTTGTCATGATGTTCACCTCGGGTCCACGCCTTGGGCGAGACGTGCATTGTACATCACGACCGTTTACAAGTACAAAGAGTTGATCCTGCAATTGTTCATGATCCTCCAAGCTGGGATCCATCATTCATCCATGATTGGCATGTTTGCTCTTCATTCGAAAGAAGGGAATCAAGATGCTCTGGCGTTGTGGTAGAGATACCAGTCTGAGTGCATCTAACGAGAGAAGGACGAACAAACAAAAAAGCAACCCAGGTTCAAGATGGGTGTCTTCTCCCGAGGGTCCTTTTGCTTGGTCACACAATTCACTCTTCGTTTTGTTTTGTCTTTTTTGGGGGGGGCGCAAGCCAAAAAACGACGAGCCACCCAGCTATCCCATCCCTGTCCTCGAACTTCATTGACAGGTCGGATTCCTGTATGTAGCTAGCCTGGGTGACAGGTCATTTCGCCAAACCCCCAAAGCCATGTAGGGCATGTTCATGATTCCATTTGCTTCTCATGCCAAGCTGGGATTCGAATCCATCAATTTCCAATTGGCATGAAACAACTTTGCTCCACTAAAAATGAACAAAGCCTGGTCTTTTTGGAGTTGGTACCCCCTTTTGATTGGTTTTAAAGAGAAGACAAAAAGAAAACCGCCATCTTGGGGGTCCCCAACAAAATCACACACCCATGTGGGAGGACAAAGTCCTGCATCCGCATCAGTTGGCAGGTGCATGTTTATCCCAATATCCAGAGGCGTCCATCTCTCCCAAGTGGTGCGAAGTGGATTTCGCCCATCTACAGAACCTTGCGCCTCGCAGATGCGACTCCCGAGGCGTGCGCATCGGCGGGCGTCTCCAGCGGCAGATCCGAGAAGCCATCGTAGGAGGCGTCTGCTGAGTAGCCATCCTCAAAAGCCGCGTGCCCGGTTCGGATCGATGGAAGTTGGGGAATTCCTCAAAACAGGTCAACTTTTGACACCCCTAAAGAAGGGTACGGGGACCGGGGACCGGGCCTCAAATGGGAGCCACAAGAATGACTGCCCAAAAACGAGTGGGGTCGTTTCTTGGGTAAAGTGTCTGGGCCAGGTGCTGGTTCTTCCCAGCAACTGTGACTGCTTTTAGGGCAAAGTGTCTGGAAAAGAACATGCAACTTGGCGAATGGGCAACAGAGCAGTCCACCCTTCTCCGCCTATCCAGATTTCGCCATTGGGTTCTCTGGACAGGCTGCCGGGATGCCACTTCGATGATGTGCCATTGGACCGTGTGGCAAAGCAGGAAAAAAAGGGGGACCACATTTGTTTCCTTTGGGTCGGGGGACCCCGAAATTGAGATATGGATCTCTTGCTTGAGTGATCACTTTTTGCCACATGAACCAACCTCAAAAAGGGTACCGAGCCTCTACCCAAAACACCCACCCGCATCCACCGAACGGATCTGGAGGCCCGAGCTGCGCCATCTGAGCCCACCATGGGTGCCTCCTCACAAAACGCGTAAGGATTCCGCCAGGAAAGTCGTCGTCTGGATTTAGCTTCATGTTGACCCCACATTCATCAACCAAGCAGTTTATTCATAGGAGGGTGTTCCCCTCCAAAAGGGATGATTCCCCACTAAACCCAACAAAATAGAAATGGTCCCAACCGGGGTGTTGACCCCATGTGGCAATCAATGTCCTTCAGCCCATTCAACTCTTTCCCAGCGCTCGCTTTCTGGTTCTTGTGGTTGAAGTTTGGTGCCGCGTCTCTCGAGTCCCTTCCAAATGAACCTTTTCTGACTACCAGCATTTTTGTCGCCCGAACCTAGCATCACAACCGGCTCCTCGTAGCCATCGTAGCCATCGTAGCCGTCATAGCCATCGTAGGCCGCGTCCCCGCCGTCCCCAGGAAGCTGACAGGCCACAGGCAGACAGAACAGTCAACGACTCTCGGCTCAAATAGCCTCTTCACTTCTTCAGCCGAATCTCGGATGTCCTGTTTCCCCAGCGCCATACATCTCACTTGGATTTCCAGTTGCGAATCGCCTTTCCCCTGCAACTGTGACTCGCTAAAGGGCAAAGTGGCCGGAAAAAAGGTTGCTTCATTTGCTGCAAAAGGGATGTTTACTTCGGGTTCATTCCGTTATCCCCTTGCCCTGGTTCATCTTGGCTTCTTATTCAGTCCTTTCTCTCCCTTGCCTCAACATGGGTGTGTCCTTTTTTGAGGGCTCCCCGTTTTTTGTGGATTTGAAGGGAAAGCACAAGGAACCCGTCGTGCCCTTGGGGGGTCCGAATCCCAAAAAAGAGGACGAGCCGCCCAAACATGTGTCTCCCGTTGGACGCGTGGCGCCACTCGCCTGGGTCACCGGGTGCAGATTCCTCATGCGCGACTGTAGCCCGGAGCCGCACGTGGCAGTGCACCTCCGGAAGCAGAACTTCGAAAAGACCAATCAGCACCGGGTCCCCTTTTGGGAAGCTCACTTGCGGTTGAGGGGCCTGGAAATAAAATGGCTGACCTTTTTGGGAAAAAGTGGATGAAACAGGAAAGCCAAAAGGTTAAGTTGGTTTTGAGGAAGCCCCAAAAGAGAAACCCCAACTTTTTTGCAAAAAAAGCAACCGGCAACCGGATTTCTGGGAAGATCATCTCAAGGAGTGTCCGGGCTTCCCCCGGCTGTTTCCGCAAGACCTGCCCTGCCGAATTTCAAGCAATTTCTGCTCCGAAAGCACCGAGCAGCCGCTCCAAACCACTCCTCGGGCCTATGCCTCACCCCAAAGCTTTCAGCTCAAAAAGAAGAGAACCGAGCGATGTGCCACTTGGCTGTGGCTCAGAAAACCGGTATCAAAATGGGTTGCCCTGGTAAGTGGAAACATGGACCAAAACCTGCGTAACCCCTCCTATTCAATTTTGAGCCACACCCATTTGGCACCTAGGCCTTGGCCCGAAAAAGGATTCGTAAAGGGCACCTTGAGTGCTTTAGGTTCGGTTGGACAATCTGCCCTCAAAGATGGGAGGTCGACCAGCCATCTTTAAGGGATGGAGAATCAGCCCATTTTGCCACACTATCCCATGGGAAGACGGAGAACCGGCCCCTCATGTTGCGAAATCTCCCACGTGTTAGCCGCCAGCTTGCGGAAAGTAGAAGTCCTTGGGCCCGCGGCGGGCTGTAGTCCGACCACTCCTGCCAGATGCAGTAGGTCTTGTCCGTGCCTCAGGGAGGGATCAGCTGCCTCTCGTGTCTTAAGATCGGAATTCCCCCCCCTTGGATTCCGGACGTCCCCCTAGCCGCCAGAATGGTTCAAAACCTTAGATCAAAACCCGTCTAAGAAGGCTCCAAGAACATTTCCGGGGCCGGCCTTTGGTCGTGTAGACCCAATGTAGCCTCCTGCTATATCACGTGTTGCTCGAGATCTTATCCTTTTCAGGGGGGTTGGAAGAGACAGCTGCCTGACTCAAAGGACCCATCGCAAAGAGTGGCCTTCATTTCCTAGCCACATGCCTGATTCAATGCTCAAGTTGTAAGATCTACCCACTAAAGACCAATAGGCAAGCGTATTGCTCCCTACCTGCAAAAACGGCAAGGCGCTCCTTTCGGTTCACTAACCAAGCCCAACAAACAAGTCGAGGTACTATCTGGGACTATCGACCGTGTTTTACCATTTCACTTTTATGTCGAAGATGGAAGACACGGACCCCAGACCGATGCAAAACAGCTGTGCTTCTGGTTGTTCCTTTTGAACACTATCCACAAATCCAAATCGCCCCATTCAACAAAGGGCGAAAAACAAGTTGCTGTTTCAGCAAACTCAATTCTCGGAAGCAGGCTGAGACCGCGGCATGAGCGAGGGCACTTGGCAACTTCCACTGCACCTCCACTATGGCACGCCTGGCAATTCAGAGGCCGCTCTGAGCGTTTCCCCCACATTCAAACCATCCGAAAAGGAAAACATATGTGTCTGTCGTTTTTGAGGCACCCTTTTTTGGTTGGTTTTAAACAGAAACCGAAAGAACATGTTGTTTTTGTTGGAGGGGGGTTCCCTAAAAAAAGACTAGAGAGGGGCCCAAAATGGTTTTCCTTTTGGCTTCCCTTTAAGAGGGGTCCATTTTGAGAAACTCTTCATGCGACTTTCTTGGAGCTCGGCCTTTTTTGGGTGTGGGGGAGGGTCCCTAAACTAACACACACCTTTTTTGGCTTCAAACAGCGGACCCGTGGGCAGGTCGAACGCATGCAGTTGCCGCCCCGCAAAAAGTCGGGGCTCCCGTGTCTTTGACCCCGAAAATCGCGGATTCCGACTAAACTTGCTGGTTCTCAGCAGGGAATGAGAAATGGAATGACCCCTACAAACCCCCTCTTGTTTTCCTTTACGGGAACTAGGTTCATTCCCAACAACCTGAGGCATTCCCTACTGAGCACCAGCAAGAAAACCAAACTCGAAGAAGTTCGTGAGCTCCCAGCAAGTGTGATTCCAGGGAACCGTTCCCCCCTGAGACTTCGACACTTGGAAGGCCTTCCATTAATATCATAGAAGTAGCTATAATGGGCTTCTGTTGGTGCATGTGTGTGTGTCAAAATCGGGGGCCCAAAAAATGACCTTGGGATTTCCTTTCGGTGTCCCTTCAAAAGCGTTGGAAAGGGCCCGGAAAGGGCACCCTTCAAACCAAAAACTCCCGCCATTCTGAACCCATGGGATCCGATTCTTTTCCGTCGAAACCATCAACTAAAGACCCCGGGTTTGAAAGGAAACAACTGTTTTTGCTTTCCTTTTTTTTCCGGGGAAAGAGAGAACAAAATGGGCCATCAAAGCCCATTTGTTGAGAGTTAATCTCCAACCCTGGGGTGGATATGCACCAACCTGACACGGTTTCAGGCACAGAAAATCTCCGCAGATGGCGACGAAAGGCATCGCGCCAACCCAAAGTAATGACCCCGATTAAGCAGAACCGGTTGAATTTGATTGGGGGGGGAACCCCTTCGAATTCTCAGACCACTTTTTGGAGGGATCACCCCCCTACTAATGAAAAGGGTTTATTAATCCAGAGACCCCTTGGCCCCTCCTCTCCGCCACACTGGGGGTGGGCTGCGATGTGGCGCACTCTCTGCATCTCCCCACCGCACCTCCGAATTCGTGCGGCGAATTCGGAGGTTCCACTACTGTAGATGGTTGCGAAATTCATTTCGCACCGCTTTGAAGCCGTGAGAAACCATTTTTTGGCTGGTATAGGCAAGGGGATCTATCATTCCAGGGTTTCTTAGGTGGTGCAGGATTTTGTCCATCCACACTAAGACTTGAGATCCTGGGCAAGCCGTCCACACTAAGACTTGAGATCCTGGGCAAGCCACTCGCCCAGGGCCCCGGATGGGACCTGGAAACAAAAGGAGATTTTCGGCGAAATATCCCACTGGACCGCTTGTTGGCTGGATGGGTTGAAGGGAAATCACAGAAAAAATAAGCAAGCATCTAGGGGTTCCCCCCAATTGTGTGGGTCAGATCCCCGCTGAAAGTTCAACTTTTGGTTGGCACCCTAAAACCCTAAAAACCTAAGGGGACGGCTGGGAACCGCCAAGTTTTGAGGTCTGCCAGTCGCGTCTCACTTTGCTCGGTGCTGCCAAGGCACTGATTGCATGGGCCCCACTCCGTCCAATCCTTGCAGCTTCGAACTGCGATGTGAGAAGATCCGGCGTCAAACGTCTCTCACAGGCTCAAAAAGGCCAATTAACAAGGCATCAGACAAGACTTGTATGCACTGACTGCATGGGATCATAACAAGATGATAAAAAAGGAAACCCAAACATGCCCCAAGGGTGATAACAAAGGCAAAGGGGGCTCGTGGATGAGCCTGGGGTTGGGACCGTCCACTTTCCAAGGAAGGTTCTAAGCAAGCCCATGTGGGTGTTTCTGAGGGTACCCTTTCCTCAATTGCTTAAGTCCCACAAAAATGCACATGTTTCCAGCTTCAAACCAGGGCAAAATAGAGCATAAGCAAATGGAAGCAAATGGCAAGGGAAACAAAAGAAGACCAGTTCCAGGCTGTTCCAGGGGTCCCAAAGAAGTTTTTTTGGACGACCCATGGCCGCAAGTCCCTGAGAAAGGCACCGTCCATTGGCAATCCACCGGGATGCACTCGTCGCCGCAAGGCTGGGACGGTGGCGGGTGAGATCCATTAACCCGCAAACCGCGGAGCAGCTGCCGGAGAATAGGTGACCTTTCGGGGAAACATAGATTGCATTTAGAACCAAACAAAACCTTTCTAAACCAGTGCCATCCATTTTTTAAGCGAACTAGAAACAAGCGGATCCCTAGAAGTGTAGCAGACCAACCCTTTTGCAGGGGGCGCCTTCGTTTCCCGGACACTGTTGAAGTCCATTCAACCCCCGGACAGGAAAGGGTTTCTGGAAGAATGGCTTACCCAAAGCCATCAGCCACCGTGGAAGACTTTGGGCGTCAAAAGGGAAATTGTCTTCCAACAACCCTCCATGAAAGTCAGCTTCCATGATTGGAGCTTCCGAGTGGGAGGTCGCAATCACCCGCCTGAGCATTGCACTGCCTTGTGAGCGACCTGCGGCATTCGGGGAATGGGATTCATGGGCCCCAGGTTGAGTAGAGGGCAAATCACTTTTGGGGGATTCCCGTGAATCCGCCAGATTGATCAGAAAAATGGATGATCCAACCCTGAGACCGGATTGAATCGACCCCTCTTGGGTCGAGGTATCAATGCTACAAACTTCCTTCTCAACGGGAAATCTAGTTTTGTGCGTTATAAGCTTATACTGGTAAAGCATCCATACTGTGGATGGTTGCAAAATCCATTCCGCACCACCGTCTGATTCGGTTCCCCAACGCAAATGCCGGAAAAAACAAGGTTATGAGTTATGGTTTCAACCATGGTTTCATTTCGTGGTGAAATCGAACGGATTTCGCAACCATTCACAGCACCTCCAGGTGCTATGCTTCCGGTGCTATGGCAACTGCCAAGGCTTCGCCCAGGTGACGTTTGAATCACCCGAAAGGGTATGGAGTCAAAATATGGGACTCAGATGCTCCCTTCTAACCAACCCCCAAAAAAGACATACTCGGTGTGGGTCTCAAAAATTGGGTAACCCCAAAATGGGCTTTCACTGGTAAGAAGTGGAGACAAGGACTAAAACTGCGGTCTGGTTGCATCTCGACATAAGATCGGCTGAGGCCCTCGAGATTGGCTGAGGCCGTTTTTCAGCTTCCGGAACTTGGCCGGGCCCCCCCGCAGCGCCGCGGTGCAGCCGTAGCCGCCCTTGCTGGGCTGCCTCGGATCTCTTGAGCCGAGCGCGAAAAAAAAAAAAACTCGTCGGAGCGAGTCTCCCCAAAGGCACTTTCACGAAACCAAAAAGGAGGTCTCTGCAGTCCCAAGATTTGTCAACGAGGAGCAAATGAGGGCTTGGATTTCCCCAACTCAAAAGTTGATCAACTTACCAGTGGTGTCCGTTGAAACGATCGTTTCTTTGAGAGCTTCCAAACAGAACAATAGGCGCGGACAACCTTGGTTTAGCTAGGTTTTCAAGTAGAGAGGTTAGAATAAGGGCACACTTTTTCTGTAGTCTATTTGAGTAGGGGAACCCTCCCCCAAAAAAGAAACAAAAGGGCACTGGAAAAAACTGGTTTAGCTTCCAGGTTCGGAGAAAATGAAATCTTTGCTCCGAGGCGCTGGATGATCTCCCTCTCCCGGGCCTGTTGCCCTGCTCCGCACCTCGCTGGCGGCTTGGCGGCTGGCCGTTGAAGTTTGGTCGGTGTCCCCCCAAAGCTGAGTTTGACGCGTGGGGCTTAGACTCGGCAACTGGTTCACCTACCACTTGGGTGTCTCACTGAGGTCAAGTTAGTTTGAGTCTTCTTTCCTGGCCATTTGCCAGTGACACCAACTAATGGTTTTGGGGGACGCCATTTTTTTTAAATTGTCACTGGAAACCAAAGCGTTTTCCATGCAAGATGGGGGGGGGGGGCCTTCCGGCCTCCCACCGACGTCCCGACGCACCGAGGCTCGGGCGAGACGTCGCAGGGGCCCCAGGGGCTCCAATCCGACAAGATGCAGTCCACCGCCGGTTTGTCGTAGAGGTGGCACGGGTCCACCTGACGCGCCGGGTCGCCATGTCGCTCGCACGCGCGTTTGTTTTTCTTCTTCAGCCCGACGTCTGAAATCCTGTGGTTACAAGTCTGTGCTTTCTCTTTTTTTGGGGGGGAGTGCTTTTTCTTTCTTTTTGTTTTGGGGGGGGAATTAAGATGGAGAAAGCACTACTTTGTCCCAAGTGGGCTTTACAAGGGTTCAGGGACCAGGGTTACCCCAACAGCTATATGCTTCGGTCAGACAAACTGTATGCTTCTTGCTCGATCTGGTCAACGCGTCAAAGCAGACCTTGGCGTTACAAGAAATGTGACCGGCAGGTTCGGCATGTGGGTCTTAAGGCTTGTAGGGTCCTCTGGCGTGCTTCTCTTCGACATTCGGGCTAGAAGTTTGCGCCACCCTGCAATCTCAACTCAACATTACAACCCAAAAGGTGCTGTTTTCCGCGTGGAACATGTAGGGACCCGAAGGCAAAAGGAGCCATTGCTCGGCCCTTCGTCCAAAGCTTGGAGCTACCCGAATTATCTAAAGCAACCCCAACTCAGGAAACCAATTCCTATAGGACCCAGAGAATCATCATTAGGCTTCCTAAACTGTAAAGGGGAGCCAAAGGTCGATTGTGACATGGGAACCCCAACCACGCTTGGTGTGGTTTTCAAAACCGCGCAAGGGCTCCACCATTTCATGGAAAGCCAACAGAAGGTTTTGAGGCAACCCCCCAGTTGAAGAGCAAAACCCAGTTGGGGACAAGATTGCGACCTCGAAACCGCCGCTTTGCCTCGCAGCAGCTGCCGCCGCCCGCGCAGCTTTTCAGAGCGAAGAGGAAGCGGCGGCAGCCGGTGCCATCTGAGACCTCCATTGGTCGGAGTTGCGAGTTTCAGATTCCCAGGAATTCCGCTCTAAGATGCCTTCCACTACCCCCAAACCACAAATTCCAGGCATTTCATGGGATAGCCAGTGTGCAAAGGGCATATCTCCCAATTTACCCTGATGGTAGAGGTTTGGGGTAGTGGAACCCATCTTGGGCCCACCAGTTTTGGTGTATGTCCATCTGGGGTCTGCAAGTTGGCCCTTCTTTTTGTGGCGCTTCCAGTTGCGGTAGATTATGGCTATGGAACCGCCCTTAAAAGTGGCATGAATGAACACCGAATTCTGATGTCCATGTTGGGTCCGCAACTGAAATTCATGTTTGGATTGGTGGTTTTGCTAGGTGTTCAAGTCGGGTCAAATTCCAGATCAATCCAAGGAACCAACTAGTTGGGCTTCCTCAGGGTTTGCTCAAAATGAGGTGACCCCCATGAAGGGTTTCCGCCATTTCCCTTTGTAGAACTTCCGAAAGTGGCAGTTTTTAGTGGAAACCCAAAGAAAATGGTTCAACTTTTGATTTTGGAAATCCTGTCACACCTGCCCTCTGAGCCCTTCCCTGCTCCTGTTAGCTTGGCGCTTGGCCAAAAAAAATCTAACACAAAACAATCCGAGTGTGGGTGGGTTTCCTTTGGTTTCCCGTTAAACCTACCCAAAAAGGGGTACCCTCAAAAAAGAACATGCCCGTATGCGGGCCATGGTCTTGGCTCCCTGAGGAATGCCCCGAAGTCTGTGAGTGATTTATCCCATGACTACTTTATCACGATTCCAACCGGATTCACAGCTGGGCCTAGAACCCTGTTTCCCACATGTCCCAGTGGCGGTCAAATGGGTATGTCCTTTTTGGGGTACCCCCCAAAATGGCTGCGGCTGTCCTTTTGATTTTCCTTCAAAACCCCAAACCCCCAAACCCCCAAACCCCCAAAAAGTGGTACCCTCAAAGATACACCCCATGTCAAGGGTCCATGACCAAGGCCATTGAGGCGCATGACGATCCTCGTGGACCGTGCAACCCTTGCGCCCTTTGGGGGAAATCTGTTTGGATTCCCTCCATGTCCCTAAGCGAGATATAGACTGGACGGGGTGAGCGAACCTCAGGTAACTTCCAAGATGGCAATTTGTTGGGAGATGTTTATGGTTGCCCTGTGATGCATCTGTCTGTTTGAAGCCTCGGTACCCTTTTGGTAGTGTGTTGAAGGGAAACAAACCAACCAACCAACCAACCAACCAACCAACCAACCAACCAAGCAACCAACCAACCAAGCAACCAAGCAGCCAAGCAAGCCAGCCAGCCAGCCAGCCAGCCAGCCAGCAAGCAAGCAAGCAAGCAAGCAAGCAAGCAAGCAAGCAAACAAACACACAAACACACAACTCCCCAGTTTGGGGTACCCTATGAGATGCAAGGTATTCCACACTCCCGTGGATGCGGGGGATAGTCTCAAAATGGGCAACGGCAAAACAAACGCTCCCAGCGGACCCTCGAAATTTGTTCCCCGCCGAAGTTTGGTTCCAGGAAAACAAAAGCACCGGTCTGCTTTGCGACAACCCAACAGGAAACTGCAGAAGGAAAACCAAAGCACAAAGATCCCACCAAAGGGGAAACTAAAAGATAACCCAGCAAGAAATGGCCATACTTGGTGGAGCTGGTTGGTTTCCCTGTTGGAACCCCACCACCGCTGCACTTCGCCGGACGCCGCCTGAAACTTCACGTCCATGGACGAGGCCTCGAAAATTCGTCGCAGAGCGAAAGGTGGGTTCTAAGCAAGGGCTGAAAGTTTTGGTTGCTGTTGACCCCCCTGCAAAAAGTTTAACTTGTTGGGGGTTTAGTGGAAAACACCTTGATTTCCCCAAAAGTTACAGTCTAAAGATCCAACCCAATAGCGGTCAAGAGGTGTCCCTTTGGGCTTCCCTTTAAACCATCCGAAAGTGGAAGGGCTCAAACCAAACAGTCCTTTCGGGATCCTCAGCAAATCGGAGCCACCATGGTTCTGTTGGGCTTGGGGGACCACTTGTGGCTTGAAGAGGTCGGCAACGGGTGCAAATTGGTCTGATTTCCCTTCAGCCGACCTGACAGGGGTACAAATCACTGGTGGTTTCCATTGAAAAGAGGATTCGCCCCCAAAAAAACAGCTGAATCGCAATGGCCAGTGCCATCGAGGATTGTGCAAGTCTAGGTTTAAGGCTGCCCATTGAAGTGATCAGGTATGGGGATGGCCCAAGTTGACTTTTCTTTGAGACTTGCTTACCCAAAGTTTCCTTCATTTCCCTTTAAACGAAGGCTCCCAAAGTGGCGATCCGTGTCAACTGTTGATGGTACCCCTTTTGGGCGTTGTTTGCCTAAAGGAAACAAGTCATTTTAAGGAACACCCAGTGAAGTCCCGTCAGGCCCGGAAGAAAAATAGTCCGGCGGGCAGAAAGACGAGTCATTGCGAGAGATGGGTTTCTTCCTTTTGGACAAGCGTGAGGTACCCTCAACCGGCCTTGCCCAACGGAAAACGATCGCTCGTCCCCGTAAGAAAGCTAGTTCGACCCCCCCCCCCAGGCCCCCAGCCCCCACGTTCCTCCCAAATGGACCGCACACCCGGACTTTCAAGGAAGCTGTACCCACTTCTCCTCGCATGTCCGAGCCTGGGAGAAGAGCAGGGCCACCGACCTGCCAAGTCTTTCCGGAAATCCCAAAACTGACCCTGCGCTTTGGCGCCTTTGGGCTCCGGACCGGGCAAAGGCACCCCGCCACTTGGGGAAGGCGCACGACCAAAACCGCTTTGGCGTTGTGAACCCTCGAACCCCCAAAAGTTTGACTTTCGGCTGGGAAACCCTACCGTTTCGCGTTCAAGTCGCACCGACGAATAAAGTCCGGTTTTCCCCTGAGCCAGGAATTCGGGCCCGGCCTCAAACGGTAGTCCGGCCGCCCCAACAAACTAAGCTTACCTTTTGGCCCCACTTGGATTTTTGTAAGGGACCCTCTACGTAGTGCCCCCTCACCTTAAAAAAGTGGAGTGGAGCAAAAATATTCAAGTTTTAGCAGTTGAGTGGTTGGATTTCAACCACTAAACCACAATAAGCAAAAATGGGAAAATTGTTTCCCAACAACAACCAAGAAAAATATACTGAAAAGAAAGAAGCTTAAATTCAATGATAAATATGATGATGACGACAGTTTTCCAATACATACTTCTCGATGGCTCCGACTCCCAGATTCGTGGACCAAAAGGTAAACCCAAGAAACCGTTGGCGTAAAACATCCGCCAAACGCCTGCTACATCTTTCCCACGCGCCTTGCGCGTGGTCAAACCAAAACTCGGACAGCCAAGCGCGCGCGAATGAATCCGGGGCTCCCCAAAAGGTCCAATCGGACACCGCCACACGTGAAGGAATAGCGCACTTGAGATTCCCAAAACGTGACTTCAAGATCAAAGCCACCAGAAAGGGCGTGTGTCAAAATAGGGGACCCGGAAAAAAAGAAGAACAACAACGCGTGTCAAATATGTTGGTTCTTTATTTTGCCCACCCCTCAAAAATGGGGTACCCTCAAAAGAAAGATCCACCCGATCCGGGGGTCAATGCGAGCCCGGCAGAAGGCTTTCCAGCCTCCTTTCCGCCTCCGGGTCTGCGTCTGTCGGGGCCTGGCACGGCTCCAGCACAAGCCCAAGGCCAGCTCGATTGACCCAGGGGTGGGGGGACTGAACTCGTGCTTTGGTCCTAGCAACATGCTAAAGGTTTACACAGGACTCATCCAAAGGTGGACGGCTTTGGGCGTGCCGGCCCCGACGCGCGCGACGGCACTGAGCAACTGGACTATGATATCCCCCTACCCACGAACGTGGAACATGACTTAAAAGCACCTGGAGCGTTCCATGATGTGATGTTTCCTCAAATGGGGTGTCTTTTGGGGGGGGTAGACATGTTTTGTTGCTTGCTTGCTTGCTTGCTTGGCTTGGCTTGGCTTGGCTTGGCTTGGCTTGGCTTGGCTTGGCTTTGCTTGGCTTGGCTTTGCTTGGCTTTGCTTGGCTTTGCTTGGCTTTGCTTTGCTTTTTCTTTGTGTCTGTTCTTGCTGGGGTTCCCACCAAAAGGCCACACTCAAATAGAGGACGGCAAAAATTGTCGGCAACAGCTGCTTCACCATCTCTCATGGTCAAGCTCATGGTTCAGGCTGAGCCCGGCGCATCCGGCAGGTGGGCGCTGTTAGAGCCTGAGTTGCATATCGATCGTCTGTAAGATTCGGGGCCCCTGTAAGGAAGGTCAAAGCAAACACCCAAGGCTCCCTTTTGACATATACCCCATAGCCATTGAAAAACACGTTGGAAAAATAGATGGCCCAGTGGATCTAAGCCAGCACCGTCTATTTCTCGGCAAATTAACCTCAAAAGGACGCCTATGACCATACCCGCATGGAGCAGTTGTGCCAACTGCTTTTTCACCACTTCCGCAAGCGGATGAGGATGAAGTCCAGGAAAGAGCCAACCGCTGCTGAAAACTTCCACAAAATGTGTCAGTGTGTTTGGGGGTAACCTTCTTGTTTTGGAGGAGGGGGGGTTTAACGGGAAACCAAGAAACACAACCATATTGGAGGGGTCCGGGGGGGGGGGGGACATGCCACCTGGCAAAAATGCGAGAACATATGTTCAGTAGTGATAGAGTGCCCGAAAAAGAGTCCCTGAAAAAAAAGGGGGCAAACAAATCGTAAACAGGGGTACCAACTCAAAAAGAGCCTCGCCACCCATTTCTTGGGGTGCTCTTTGTATTGAGAGACGCCCTTCCAAGGTTAGGGAAAGCAGCAGCAGCAGCAACAATATTTAAAAAAAAAATGGGGAGCCGCAATCTTTTGTTGGAACGAGGGTCATGTTGACCCGGATCTTCCTACCCTGTCTACGGGGGTGATAGCCCTAAAAGCGATCCGGATTCCGACGAGGGACCCGTCAACATAGGACCCTCCAAATTGTGATTACCTGCTGATTCTCGCACCGTCCAACGCAAACCGATCTGGGAATGTCTTCTTTTCAGGGGACCCCCAAAACTGGTTTGTTCTTCCTTTTGGCTTTCCTTCAAAACCACAAAAGAGGGGGTACCAACGCCCACAAAAGACGAGCCGCGCATTTGTTGGAAAGATCAGCTTCCCTTTATGGCTTGAATTGGTGGTTTGGAATTGGCGGTTTGGTGGCTAAGGAGGGGTTCCCATTTACCCGCTACCAGAACCAGGGCTTCAAATCCAAGTGCAGTTCCCACCAATCCAAACCACCAACCCGACGGGTTCTGCTGACGTGTTTCCTGATAGGGACGTGTTTGAGGGGAATCCCACGAGGTGGTCGCGCTGAGTTACCCCCTTTTTTGGGGTGGGTTCTAACGGAAACCGAAAGGACCAGCAAATCCATTTTGGGGGTCCCCCAAAAACAGACACACCCAAGAAGACATCGACCATAAGCCACCTGACAGCTAATGTTGACCCCACATGACTCAACCAACTAGTTTAGGAATAGGGGGTGCTTCTCCCAGGGTTTGGAGGGGAAAAGCCCCCATTAATCTTGCTGGTGCTCAGCGGGGAATGAGCTCTCAGGTCCTATCTCCATCAACCCTACTGGGCATTTCGTGGACAGCGATGGTCGCGTGCGCATCTTCCACGGCATGAACGCGGTTTTCAAGGAGCGTGGATGTTTGGCCAAGTTAGAAAGTGGTTAGCCATCATAAACCATCCCTTGTCGTGTCCATTCAGGGGACTGGGTTCATTCCCACCTTCCCTACCAGCAGGTTCGGGGGCTCCTGGTTTCGACCATTTGACGTCGAATTGGTGGCAAAATACACCATTTCAACAGACTGTTGGTTTCCTATGACGAGGGTCTAGTTTGAACAACGGCCTGGTTGGTTGACCCCTGGGTTGATTCACTGGCGCGTCAGTCTCAGCACCCCCGCTGTCGCTGGAGGCGAAGGTGCCGCCGCCCGCCCCTGCGGCCACCTCCGCGAAACGTTTCGAGCTGAAAACCCAAAAACGACCGAGGAGAAGGCGAGCAAGCCAACGGAGAAAAACACAAACGAACAAGCCCAAAAAGAAAGAAATGAAAAAAAACAAGCCAAAGAATGCGTGTGTTCAACAAAGCCATGGTGAAGCCAGTCTTCGCCGTTTTTGGCAGCAGGCGCCATCGTGTTTGTGGATTTGGGTTGCCTAATCTTCGAACAAAGAAGGCAGAGAGACAAACAATCAAACAAGAAAAACAACAAACAAGCCAACGAACAAAGAAGCAAACAGACAAAGAGATATAAACAAGAAGAAAGAAAGAAAGCAAAGAGACAGACTGACAAACGAGACTTGGGGACCAGCCAACACCAAAATAAACAAAACAAAAGTGAGCCGACAAAGACATAGACCACTTAGACTATTGAAAAAAAAAAGAGATGACAACACAAAGCAAGACAAAACAGAACGAACCAAACATCAAAAATGGCCATTCCATGTTTCCCGAATCCTTCAAGGGTTGCTTGAAGTTCAGTGCGGTTCTTTGCTGTTTGAAGCGGCAACTCTCGTGCGATTGGCCGAATCGATCTCGGGAAAGTCGATGCTGAGCTGTCCACTGCAATAGTGGAATCCTTGGACACAAAGTAGTCCTGTCGATGTCCCAAGACTTCGGAGATCCGGATTCCTTCCCAATCGGGTGCTAAGTCCAATGTTAGCAGGATCTGACTCGCACCAGGTGATATGGATGGCTGAAACACCAATTCTTCCCACTCGTCAACATCCAAAACCCCAAACCATCCCCCACCCAAACGCCGGGGGTTCTCGCCCAACTGATCTCTCCTGGAAGCCCATGGAAAAGATGGACATGCCCGAGGCGCCGCCGAAATCTTGGGTGAGGCCTAAGGTGTGACAGCCAACTTCTAGGGCTCAAGCGGGGCTCCCACTGAGCGGGCTCGAAATCAGGTCATCCCTAATCTGCACTCTGTGACACACTGCTCAAGACAGGAAACGTCACTGCAGCGGGCAGATGGACTGGCTTTTTGGACGCCACTTTTTGCCCGTTTCCCGCTGAACGCATTCCATTGGGATGCGAATTGAACATCGGGGAGTCGAGATCTGGTGAAACCATTTGAGCCATGCTCAAAACTTCTGTTCTTCGGGGACCCAATCTCAAATTTATGGTGTTCCCTTTCGCTTTGCTTTAAAAGCAAGATTCCAACAGGTGTGGATGGCTAGCGAGCGCATTCGCATCACCAGGCAGGCGAATAGAAGGAACCGGTCCAAACGGCCGGCGATTCCATAAATTTCTTCGGCGACCTCCGTCACTTTCGCATCACACTTGCGCTGGCCAGGACGGAGACACTGGCCCAGCCAAGCATCGCCCAGAGGCTCTGGGCGTAGGCCCAGGTGGCCAAAAATAAGCCGCCGCACCAGAAGATGGCCTCAATCATTAATAAAAAAAATGGACAGGTCTAAAGACTTGGAACTTTGAGGTTGCCACTAAAATGGTCCAAACCCAAAAGTTGTGGTTTACCAAATGGTCCAAACCCAAGCAGCTAAAGTCAACATGAACTCAAAGGTGAGAAGCAGCCCAACTTCCGACCAAGAATCTCCCATCCCGTTCTCATGTCACAAGCACCCCAGCCAGCTGATGCCAGCCAAGTAAGCAAAAAGATCAAAAAGGCAAGCCAAAAAAGGCAATGCAACGAATTTGAGGGTGCATATCCAATTTGTAGACAGACCCACATTATAATTTCACATCAGCCTTGACGCCTGAAATCTGTTACCGGCGTCCTAAGCAGCACCCTATCGACCCCATGCGGAATCGTTCAGCATATGAGCACTGTCCAAATTGACGTTGACCCCAGATGAATCAACCAACCTGTATATTGATATTGTGGGCTGGTCTGATTCCCCACTGAACCCAGAGAGAAGCACCCCCTATTAATGTACCGGGGTTGATTAATATGGTGTCCAAATTACTTGTTTCCCAAAGAGGACATGGGACATTTAGTGAGTGCTGTGGTTGGACTATCAACAATGTTGAGCCAACCTATGGAAATACGTACATATTCATTCGCTGACCCATTTGGTAGGCGCATGTCCAACCATACACATGAGAACACCAGCACGCGAGCCCGTTCGCCTGGACATCATGCACAATAACAAGCGCTGATGCATGCCGCACGCTGATCGCCCTCACATACAGCAACCAGTGGCAGAATCTCTCAGCAGCTGCAGCACTACTCCGATCCGGACCATTTGCACCCTCTGCCCACATCCTATCCCCAAGGTGCTGTTTAAAAAAAAAAAAAAAAAAAAAAACGAGACTCAACAAAACCATGTGTTGGTTGACCTAAGCAACCGCACGCCATCCGGACCCCGCGCCAGCTGCACCAAACGAGCCGTTCTGCAGACTTTGAAGCCCCAATAAGAAATGTGTCAATTAAAAATCGGGGGGGGGGGGGTTCGGAAGCCTCCCAAACATGGAACTGTCCAAACTCTGGCTTTCAGCAAACCAGCAAACCGACGCAACCTTTTCAACCCCTCCTCCTCTTCCAATTAGCATTCCTTCCTAGGACTCCCCTTGCCCCTTTTACACATTTGCGAAGCCAGCGAAGCCAGCGAAGCAAAGGCGCGAAGGCGGCGAAGATCAGCAAGCTCTGCAGGTAGTCCAGCAGCGGCCAAAGCCTTGGGGCCGCCAGCCAGGAGCAGAGCGTCAGCAGCACGCGGAAGGACAAAGTGGACCAGAACACCGCGAAGCTCAGCAGCACCCCCACAATAAACGAGACCTGCCAAGCTGTGCTTCGACTTGCACGTGCTTAAATGGCTCTTCTTTCTGTGTTGCTTCCTTGTTTTTGTGTGTGTTTCCTTTGGGGCGCGCCGGTTTGTGTGTTTCAAGGCCGAAGCGCTAGGTTGGTGATCTTTTGCTTGGCCAGGACCTCATCTTTCTTTCTGCATTCAATCTGTGGTCCCCTTCGCCCCCTTTTCTTCTTGCTGGTGCTCAGTAGGGAATGACCCAGGGTGTTGGGAAAGAACCTGGGGATTTTCTTAAAGGAATTTGTAGGGGATGGTTCATAGGGGGCATTCCCTCATTCCTTGTTGAAAGCCAGCAAGTTGTTCGAGCCTGCCAAGTCGTGGAAACGCCTGCTTTGGCAAAGGCGAGCCAATATTCCAAGCCCACGCTCAAGACGGGCAGGCAGGGCAGGAAGCTGTAGACCCGGACCACCTGCAATCAAACAAATGGAGCCGCAGTCACTATTTGGCCCCTTTGACGTTGGACTTTGATGACCCTGTTTCTGAATGGCAACTTGTGACATGCTATCCCCTGCGGATAGCGAACATATTGACAGCTGATCAATGTAAAGAATGAATAAGCAAGGCGGCAAAAATGCTTGTGACTGTCCCCCAGTTTTGTTTTTACAAAACACCCTCATGTAAGTGTTTGAATGTTCACCTGGCTTTTGGAGTCCAACAGGTGAATGGAATTTGAAGATTGACACCTGCCTAGCCCTAGCTCTTTCATCTTGAGCCACACCCATGTTTTGTGGGGGTTGGCAAAATCTGGGTGGTTGAAGGTGCTTCTTGGTTGTTTGTGGGCTTGTTTTTTGCTTGGTTTCCGTGTTGTTATTTTGCCTGCTTATGCAACTTGCTTCGGTCCATATTGACGCCCTGAGCCATAACCCCTGAGTTATTCAGCTGGGGAGTCAAGAGTGTAAAGCACGCCTATGCACAAATGGCTGTCTTCAGGCTTGACATTATCTTTTTTCTGGAGTACTTTTTGAAGGTTTGACTGAAAACACGTTGGGGGTAGCCCATATGCCCGAGTTTGGGGTGGCTGTCTCGTTTCGGAGTTGGTGCCCGTTCCCGAGTTGGACGAAATATGCCACTTTGATGTACACCAGGCATCAATTCCGTCGTGGCTCCGTCCTTGTCCAAGGACTGCGGCGTCATTTTGGGTGACATTTTTCTAGGGGTAGCTTCCTCATTCTTTCCAGGATCCTTCTTTCTAGAAAACCAATAACCCTGGGGAAATGGCTGGTTTTTGGAAAGAACGACGGTTGAAAAGAATGGGGAATCAACCGCTAGATGTGTTTCAATGCGCCATAGACACATGGGGAAAAAAGCACCACCCTAACTCCATTGGAGACCAAAACCCGCGTCCGGTCAAAAAGCGTCTCCTGCTCGGAGCCGAGGGTGGCTGCGAGCTCCTCCTGCAGCGTGTGGCGCACAAAGTCGGTGAAGGCCTCACGCGCTCGAGCCGCGCTCCGCTCGCGCTGTTGGCGTTTGGCGCCTTCTTGGCGTTTGGAAGGGGAAGTCTACAGTGGACCAACAAAACGAAATCCAGGTCGCACCGTTCAGAAACCCTGGTGTCCGACTGGATTCCCCTGAAAGGGGTCCCGATTTGTTTTGGGATTTTTCCGTGTTTTGGGAATTGTTCCTAGATTTTCTGTCTTGGAACTGGCAGGTGCGATCTCCCTTGGTTCTTCTGTGGTTTGACTCGTTTTGCACCAGCGCTGTCAACATCGCCGGCATCGTTTTAACTCGGCAGCATCCTTTTCAACATCCTCAGCATCACGAGTTGGATTTGTTAGGCTGGGTTTAGGGTGGGTTAGGTTGGCTTGGGTTGGTTCATGGTGGGTTCCAGGCTTGTTTTAGTGCTGGTTTATTGTGGGCTTCTTGGGGTTGGTTCAGGGGTTTAGGGCTGGTTTAGGGTGAGTTTAAAGTTGGTTTAAACTGTGGTTGTGTGTAGGTGGGATGGTTTAGTGTTGGTTTGGTTTGTTTGGGGGGGGGGGGGGTAGGGGGCGGTTGGTGTCGCGTTTGCTTTGGGCTTGTTAAGGGTTTAGTTTGGGTTTACTGCTGGTGTACGGGGGGTTAGGGATTGGTTTTGGGGTTGCTTTAGGGAGCTATAGGGTTTGCTTAGTGGGGGTGGTTTGAGGTTTAAGGTGGGCTTATTAGCAATGGCTTTGTGCTGGTTTAGTGCGCATCGTATAATACAAACCCACTCTAAACCAGCATCAATACAGAATAATACAAACTTAGTGCAGACTTCGGGTTGGTCTGGGTGGGGTTCGGGTGGGTTTCGGGGATTGGTGTTTGGGGTTTAGGGTTGGTTTAGGGCAGGTTTAGAGTTGAGGGATAGTCTCTTGCTGGTTTAGAGTGGGTTTGTTTAGGGTGTTCTTTAGGGAGTTTTGCTGGGGTAAGGTTTTCTTTAGGGTTTCTTTAGGGTTGGCTTTTGAGGTTGGTTCTAGTTTTAGTGGTGGTTTGGGGTGGGTTTCGTGGTGGTTTAGGGTTGGTTTAGGATGTTTTTTTGCCCAAAACGTGAGTTTAGGACCATGGGCGTTGGATTCATAGGGGTTCGTTGCCTATGAAGATGGGGGGGCGCAGCCGCCTCCACAGAAACATGGGAGAAAGAAGCCACCAGCCAAAAATCCAAAAAGCCAAAAGGCGGTGATGCTGGGGTGTTACTGGTGATGCTGAGGATGCGGAAAGCCAAAGCCACAAAGGGCAAAAAGCCAAGAAACTAAAAAGCCACGAGCCAAAAGCCAAAAAGCCCAGACTCCAAGAAGACAAAGGCCAAAAGCCAAGAAGCTAAGAAGCCAGATAAGGCAAAATCCAAGAAAAAATCCTAAAGAAAAACGGAAACAATTCCCAAAATAAATAGCCCTCCCCCTGAAAGTACCAAGAAAGAATGGTTTTAACCATGGTGGTACGGTGCGAACGGATTTTGCCCGTCCGTAGCTGGAAATACGCCAGAGTTTGCTCAGACACCCCCGTCAGGTGAGGACGCACTGGACGGTTGGACGAAATCCCTTCCATCGCGCGCTTGACTTAAGGGTCTAAACCATCTTTGTTTCTACAGTTGTTTTGCTGGTTTTCTGTATCGGGGTTGGGGGTGTCCAAACATATGGGAGGTTTAAGCAACCTCTTTTTTGCGCTTCTTCAAAAAAATTGGACCGTGGCGTTTGTTAAACTGAGCATTGGCTCATCGGCCCAGCAAGCCCTACAAGCATCAGCTTCTGGGCTGCCAAACCCCCCGGCAGCCCGCAGCCTCCAGGCTGCCGTACCATTGCTGGATGGCCCGGTAGATGAAGTCCCGGTCGTACTCGTCACGGCAGCCCACCTAACCATCGACGGTGCAAGCAGACGTAAACGGCAAATGGCTCTCGGAATTTAAACGGGGTACTACCGCAACTATATGGGTGTCTTAAAATAGTATGAATATGGACCCCTTTGGTTTCCTGGTGGTTTCCCGAAAAGGAAAAAAAAAAGAAGGGAAAAACAACAAAGACAAAGGGCGGCTGTCAAGCCATCCACAATAGCCAGGTTCCCAGCTTATATACCCCCACCCCCAAAGAGAGTCCACGTTTTGCTGCAAAAAGATCCGTCCAGTCTGGCCAAGATGGGAGCTTGATGGTCCCCCCACGAGTTTCCTGAGTGGATTGACAACAACTACGTCCACACTTGTCGATTATCTCTAAAATAGTCCAAACCCGACAAAGTGTTCGTCCAGAAACTCAGGGAGTCAGTGGATGGTACTTGGGTGAAGACTCCAACAAATGGGCGTAAATTAAACAGGAGGCGTTGCGCGGGTTTTGGTCCGTGTTTCCACTTGCCTGGGGTTCCATCTTACCGGTTTTTGGAGCCACAGCGCCCAATGGCACCATCGCCCCGGTTTTGGTATCCGTGGCCACTGGGATCCACCGGCATCTCAAACTCCGCGCCTGGCTGAGGTCGAATTCCTGCAGCGCGGAGAGGAGCTGCTGCTTGCCCTGGCGCCGACTCGCCCCCCCCGGGACCGAACCGATTTGAGTCCTAAATCAAAACCGAGGGGTACCAAAATGGTCAGAATATGTTTGAGTAATACATCACAACCGGTCGATTTGAGCCATAAATCAAAAGGAGCCCCACCAGTTCAAGAAGGGCCCCCCTAAAAAAACAACTAAAGAGACACGCACATCTTCAAACAGCACCTGAGGGAAAATGCTCAAACCTGGTACCGAAAAGGTGAACCCGAAAAAGAAAATGGTAAAGACAGTCTAAGGCGGCAAAGGCCCCCATTTCAGGTTGGGATCCCTTCCCCACCTGCTACCCGGATTTTGATTGTGGCTCATTTGGGTATGGTCTTTTTCTTTCTTTTGGAGGGTACCCTTTTATTGGAGGGGTTTAGCAAATGAGAGTTGGACGCAGTTCCAATTCACGTTATATTATATACAGCTCTTTCTCAAAAACAAATTCGGTGGATGTCCTCATGATTTGCCAGAGTCGTCCTCTCAAAAGACCGGTGAGTTTTTTCGAACCCAAGCCAACGCCACCTCATTACCAGCTTCAACATAGGTTTCTACACGTGTGTACGTGTGACAAAAATTGGGGGACCCGGGTCGGTCAAAATTGTCCTGTTGGTTTCCATGCATGAAAAAGGAACTTCGCCTCAAAACGAGCCACACCGTGCAGATCAAAGGCTCCCAAACGTGGTGATTGAGCGAGTGATTTTTGAGGACGGGTTTGTCTCAGTTTCGAGGAGACCCCCCAAAATGACACCTTTACCCTTTTCCAGCCCAAAAACGGTCAGGATTTCTCCCTCTTTCCCTATTCCAAACAACCTTCTTGTGGTACAAATGGCTTCTCTCTTTGGTGGGACACCTCAACTTCCTTGGTCCCAAGCCACTCCCAACCCCCAGCTCCCAACCCGCACCCCCCAAGCCTCCCACCCCCCAGCTCCCAACCCCCAACCCCCAGCTCAAAACCCCCCTCGGCCCTCGGCCTGCATGGAGCGCCGCAAAAAGTGCACCAGCATGCAGCACATCGCCGACAGCACCACGGAACATGCCACCACATACCTCGCTGGAGACTGGCCGTTCGGGTTCAAGCAGACAGGGTGAGAAAAAAGGCGTAGGCGTCTTTTGCATGTGTTTGTGGGGTTTGGTTTTTGTTTGGGGGGGGGTGGAAAACATGCCGTAGGCGTGTCTTGATCGTGTGCTTGTGTTGAGAAGATGTTTTTTTTCTTGAAGGGGGTGGTCGGGCTTTGTTTCCCTAACGATGGTCCCAGGCCTTCTTAAATACGGCCAAGTCAGAAGCTGTTTACCCACAAAAAATGGGCGGAACCTTATGACAAAAAAGCACGAACAGCAGAAGGGAAAGGCCAAAAAGAGGGGTCTGAGCAGAAAACATGATGTGACAACGTGTGGTTTCCCTTTAAACCAAGTTAAAGGGGCCATACAAACCACTCCCACTAAACCACATGCCCACAAGTGACGTGAAAGCGTGACACGCTCGGATCCAAACATACAAAACTACAAAACGTGTCAAACAGATCAGTGGATACTCCGAAAGCTTGGCACTCTTGGGCTAGAAACACAGCCCAGGGAACACACCGTTTGCCGAGAAAATGTCCATTTGAATGGCCCATTTGGATTAACAACGGCCCCGGCACTTGATCGGCACTCGATCGCAAATCAGGCACCTGTTCAACGAATTGCCCCCTTATCGGTCTATGTAGTTGTGTTATCTTTGGGGAGCAACAATTCAGTTTGGGGTAAGACATCTCCGCCCAGTCAGCTTTCAGTGCTCAACAGGGGGTACCAACTACAGACCAGTTTCAGCAAACACGAACTACGTTCAGCCACAACGCGATTCCAACTACCCGAATGTCAACTTCCATTGTTGGAAAGAGGGTACTAAGTACAAAGCTTCTTTTAGAACGCTTGCCAACTCCATGATTGTTTTTCCCTGGTCTGTTTTTTAACACAAAAGCTTGGCAACTCAGCTGCCAAGAGCGATACCACCCACAAAGTTTCTTCAAAAGCTGGCCAACTCCGGGATCTTCTCTTCCTGGAACCTTTTTTCTTGAGGAACTTCTAGTATCAGCTTCCAGTGAGGGAACGAAATCTGTTCGCACCACTTTGAAGCTATGGGAAACCATAACGTGTGTTGGCATTTGCAGGATCATTCCAGGGTGTCTGAACGGTGGTGCGAAATGGATTTCGCAGCCATCCACCGCCTTACCCGGGGGGGGGGGAGGAGTAAATCATCAATTTCCAGCGAAGCGGATTCGCAACCATCCACAGTGCCACCGCCTGAACTTAACACCCGCGAAGTGGCTGGGTCAAAAATAGGCAACCAAAGTGGGTTGCCCCTAAATGGAAACATGGACATTCCATCCAGCGGTCCATATCCTCGTGACTCAAACTTTTTGCCCCTTCCCCTGGCGTGTTTTTTTCCTTCGATGCCCCGGGCGACAGAAGCAGCTCGGGGTTCGCGGTGTGCACCATCCAGAAGAGCAGAGACGCGCAGCTGGAGGCCAGACACATGCAAAGCACCGAGACCTCCACGAATAAGGGCGCCAGTCGGATGACCCCCCGGGGGTTCGCCTTGCGGAACGCGGCCAGCTCCTCAGCACGATTCATCAGAAAAAAGCTTTTGTTGGGGGAAGGATCCAATTTCTTCCGCGGCTCTTCAGCCCCCTGTTTTTGGTTGGTTTTGATGGGAAATCAAAAGGAAGACCATCATAAAGCTGAAAAAAACATCGATATGAGTGGTTTCACTTGGTGAAAGTTGCGTTGATTTCAACCCCATGGCCTGCTTAGGACCTGTCTGGCCGGGAAGTTGACGTCTTGAGGTGTTGCGGCCACGTGGCTTTAGGATGGCTCAGAGTGGGGTTGCTTATTATGGGTCAGGGTGGGTTTGGGCTAATGGGCGGGTGTAGGCATTGCTGGGATTGATTTCGCCGATTTCTTTCAACGCAACACTTTCCATGCCGAGCTGGCCGAGCGGCGAAGATGCACCAAAGCCGGGTCAAGTATGGCGGGCTCCAGAGCACTCGAAGCTCCGAGGATAGGCTCAGAAATCCTCCGATGCCATAAATCCCCTTCTCCTTGAGCGCCGCATCCGTCTGGTGGATGCTCATCACATCTAGGAAACAAATATCCCTCATGCCTTAGAGGCTCGTAGATCTCGTAAATATCAAATTGTTGTGGGATACTGTGAATGTCCAAAATCCTGCACACAAGTTGGGTTTCATGCAGTTGTCCATCAGTATGTCGTAAAGCCGTCTAAACTCCAAGAAGGCGAAAGCCAAAGTCTGAGGAACCGTATGGCTGGGAGCCAAGATGCGGATGCATGTCGGGGTGTAGACGGAGGCCACCAACCCCAGCCTGGGCAAGGCTTCAAGGGGTCGGGTGCGCGCAGCATGTGCCGTGCGGGTTGACGGAGTAGGCAACATCCACATATGTTTTTTTGGACCTACTAGGATTGGGAAGCCCTTTGTTTCAACAACGGCTTTAACAATGGTTGTAACCCACTGTTGGTTCAACAACCTGCTTTGGGTTTCTCTTATAAGGGGCCAAAATCCGTGATTATGGTCACACCTCTGCTTGGATTGGTGTAGATGCGTTTTCAGAAGCAAAAAAAGGAGGGGTCGACAAGAGGACTCATGCTTACCCTCCAACAATCATAGAAGCGAGGAGGGCGTCGGAGTACTGCCTTCTTTTCGGGGAAGCCCTTTGTCCAAAGCCATGCTTGTTGAAAAGGGGGTAAGCAAGTGTTGAGGGCGATGCCAAACTTTTCGCCGACACACATCTGCTTAGATCCATCTTGGAGTTTCTTACATGATTTCTCGGAACCTTTGGCGTGCACTCTTCAGATTCACAGCCAAATCATTCAGGGCGGTCCAAACGGAACAGGGGCGCCAACAAAAGACCCCAAAAAGCCTTCCCCCCACCGCCGCAAAAAAAAAAAATATATATATATATATTTAACAAAGAAATAATGATAAATATTAGTAAGAAGAAGGAGAAGGGGACCAACACCATCTGCCTGGCACACCTCATTCCCATCGTTTTCTCCTAGGCGCAGGGCCGCCCCAGTGGAGAAGACCAAGATCCACAAGCCCAGGGGGCACGTCGCCTCTTCCTCCAGCGCCCTGGCCGTGAAGGCCCAGGAAAGCGGCAGCCCATCCTGCAGACACAGCCTGGCGCAGTGGCGCGGGGCCGGAGAGGGTCCCAAGAACTCCGGGGCCCTTGTAACTTGTCAGCCATTCCGTCCCCTTTTCCGTATCGCCATGAGACACTCAGGAGAGCCTCAGCATGTTTTCCAGTTTAGCCTTTTCCCTGTCAGGTTCCCATGGGGGAGAATGCGACACATTCCGTGCGTCACTTAAACCGAAAACGTCGAGCCCCTGGGGCAACGAAACCAGACTTCGAGCGATCAGATCGCATGGGTTGTGAAAAGCTATGGTTGTGTCTCAAAACAGGGGACTCTCGAAACTGGGAAAGGGGTTTCCTTCAAAAATCCACAAACTTGTGGGTTTCCTCCAAAAAACAAGCACGGAAGTATATGGTTGTGATTCAAAATCGACCCTCAAAGCTCCCTTTTGCCCTCACTCCACACGCTTGGGGGGTTCCCTCAAAGACGAGGTAGTTGTTGCCCGGAAAACCCATCCAAGGGCGCATGACACCTACTGTGGATGGTGTCAATTCGGCCGCACTCTGAAATGAAACCATGGTTAAAACCATAACGTTTGTTGGCATCTGCAGGATCATCCGAAACCCGGGTTTCTGAACGGTGCAAAGGGGATTTGGCAACCATCCACGGTATGACCCCCTTTGGGCCTTGAACAGCGACAAAGCTTTCGTCACTGGATCGCCCAGTGCTTTTCGAACCGGGAGTTGAGTTGATCCCAACAAATGGACCAAACGGCAACCGAACCAAAACGTAAGACGTGGGACAAACAATCAGCTTCCCTCTACTTGGTTGGATTGGTGCTTTGGTAGGGTCCCATCTCTGTGCAAAACCAAATCGTACTATCAATATTCGGAAAAAGCGTGGAAAATGAAAAACAAAACTGATTGATGGGCCAAGTTCAACAAACCCTGCCCAAAAACCGCGCCCAGTGGGGGTGTCGTTTTTGAGTGCACCGATCTTGTGTGTGGTTTTCAAAAGAAGAAAGCGAAGCCATTTTGAGAAAGTCCGAATCCCAGGAAAAGGACAGCCCCAAAAAGTGAGGAAAAAGTGTCCAACAACCCCAGACATGGGCTAAAAAACACACCAAAAAAACAAAACAAACATGACCAAAGGCCAAAAACTTCAAAAATCCGAAGAGACCCAAACCATCCCATTCAGGGCTGCGGGACATGACACCTTCTGTGATACAAGGCAAAGGGCCTCCCGAAGACTACCCCCCCCCCAAAAAAAAAAAGAGGGGATTCGCCTTGCATTTACCACAGTGGGGATAAAACCCGAGTGATCCTGTCCCAAATGGACCAAACCCGTTTCGTTGGCTTTTCCCGGCTCGAGCCAAGCCCAGCAGCACAAAGGCCGCTGCTGCGCCCAGCGCCCAGCAGGTGACCATCTGCATCCAGCGGCTCCAAACGCCCGACTTGCAGCAGCAGACCAGCACATAACGCCGGCGTCCGACCCGGGATGTCACGAGAATCACGGAGATCGCGGCCCGTCCGATTGGGTGCGTGTATGCGT